TGGCGTTAGCCACGAATGCCCCCGCGCAGGCCAGCCGCCGAAGGCGGACTCCGCAGAAGCAGTACGCCGCGTCGCACGTGCCGTTCACGCGCGGGAGCTCCACCCCGCGGTCCCTGAGCGCGCGCTCCACGCCGCCGATGCACGACTCGGAGTCATCAGGCAGGGTGGGCAGATCGTAGCCGGCGGATGGCAGAGGCCGGGCGGCGAGGGCGGAGGCGGAGTAGGCGGCGAGGAGCCAGGCGTTGAGGGTGGGACAGCAGCGGGAGCGGGTGGGAAAGCTGCCGTCGGACGCAGCGCAGGCAGCGGAGACGGAGGAAAGGAGGTCGGTGGGAGGGTCGAGGGGGCAGGCGGCGGTGGAGACTTCGGACTGCTCTGGGAAGGCGGGGATAGTGGCTGGTGGGGAGAAGGAGGAGGCGGAGGCGCCGCCAGCGGCAGCCGCCGAGGTGGAGGGGATGAGCTGAATGGAAGCGGGCTCAGGTTCGGGCAGGACAGGCTGAGCGGCCAAGAGAGTAACCTGGAGGAGTAGGAGAGATAGCAGCAGCGGTAGGAGACGAGGCATTGTTGTCATTCCTCTCTCTTCTCTTCCCACCACGGTGTTTCTTCTGAGGCAGTGGAGCTTATGTCGTGCTCTTGCTTCGTTCTCAGGGAATGGGTGCAGGGCAGTTCTTTTGCTTTTCTGATGTGTGCTTGCCCCCTTCCTTCTAATATCGACTCACTGTGAGTAACAGATTGGTGCCTGGGGTTGATTGTACATATGATTGGGGGTGAACGTAACTCGCACATAACAGTGTAGAATACACTTCAGTGAAAATGTCTCACTCCCCTGTGAACAACGAGTACTTCTCCGTACCTGCAAACCGTTGTGTTTCTCCATCTCACTAAATCATGCTGATAGTGTTTGTGACTGGTACATGACATACGGAAACAATGGTGAATTGTATTTTAGATCCCGTATGTTGGTACCCTTTTGGTTCTAATTCGCCGGTGGGCGACAACCTTGGCCTGAGAGTGTCATTGAGACACCGCACCAACTTAAACGCATCGAATGGGACGCTAAACTTCTCGTGTTCCTGAAACTTGATAAATGCTTCAATCTTTCAGTCAACAACAGTTATCATGCGTAGGTTCTTCTCCTTCTTTTTAGGTCTTCTACTTCCTGCAAAGTAAGAAAGAAAAAGCAATTCGACTACCCTTTTCATCATCTCGAGAATTTGGTCAAGGTATTTGCTGCCTCCCAAAAGCTGTCACGCAGTCCTACACAGTGCATAACCTGAGTATAGTATAGCAGGAGACGGTCGGACAGCATAGAATTTTCTCCACCGAAAAGGAAAGCAGTTCATCGTTCTTTGAGTTGCCATCACCTGCTCGTCCTCCATCATTCTCTGGTTATCATTCCTGGTGATGACTTCAAGATACCAATATGTGACAGAGTTCTAAAGCTGGTGCTTATGTGTGCCAATGCCAAATTAAGCTCTCGACTAAACAGAGAACCAGAACAAGCAGAACTCCATCATTAAGTTTCGTCAGCCTTTTGCGAGCTGCAATCACATTCTTCTCATCCTGTGAACTCTCGCCCTTTCTCGTGATTCATTCAGCATCGACCATAATAAAATGGACCTGTGCTGGTGAAGTGTGGCATGAGCACTTTTTAGCAGCACTATTCTACTTCCTTCAATCCAACCATCGATCCTTCCTGGCACGGAGAGATGACCACAGCTGCACTGATACCGAGAAAAGAGGGAAGGGAATGAGAACTTCGAGAAGGGCATCGATTAAAGCCCTCCCTTCATAGGTTCTGTTTCATGTCTCACGGCTTGACGTTCTAAGTGGAACGCAGAGGAGCTTTCGATGCTGTAGCTGTTGACGTATTTACCGGGCATTGGCTTCGCTCACCTCACGCGCGTGAACGAAGCCAGTGAGCGAGTCATGGACGCGCACGGGCGCGTGACGACGGAAGCAAACAGCAGGTAGCCGTGCTTGGGACCGCATGACTGCGTGTCCAACCTTGTCTGTTTGTCGATGTGCTCACAATCCCAGCAGACAGCGGTTCTGAGCAAAGGATTCTAGGAAGAAACACTTGATGAGGCTGCGTGATGACATCAAATCATGGGCCTTTTACATGGGATTTTATCTACTGAGTCGCCCCATCGTCGAAGGTAACTATTTGTTCCCAAGTAGCCGAGTAATTCTACGTATTCTTCATTTCTAAGCACTAATACATAATAAACTCTGTGTGACCATGAATTATCATCTGCTTTCCGTTTCAGCTTTTTTGGAAGGAGTCGTGTTGCTTGTTTCATGCACTTTCTTTTTACGGTTGCCTTGTGTTTGTAAGAATGCCAAAATGACCATGAATTTATCAGTATCTCATTCTGTACTCGGTTTTCTTTACAGCATTAGTCTGTGAGCTGGGATAGTATGCATGAAACCTCATCAAGCGAGCATTAGTTTCCAGGCTGAAGGGCTTTACCGATAGGTTAAGATCAATTGCTTCAACCATGGATAGACAGAATTTGGACCCTGACCGCCGTAATGGCACAAACTGATAAGAGCACTAAACACAGATTTTGGAACCTGTCGATAGGTGATGTGGTCCTTTTGGTATCACTGCCAATCGAGTGGAATTGGTATTTGTTGCTATGCTGCAGACGGGATTTAAGAGAACAAGCAAGCAGAGACAATGCAGTAAGGCATGACAGGAACAGCCCTTGGCTGCTTCTTTTGCCTGCCGGTCTTCTGTTTGTACTTCACACACTGTAGTTTTCATATTCTACCATGTTCATGGCTGATGATAAATAAATATTTTAATCAAGTGATCATAATATCTTAAAAACAAAACATTTTTATGGTAATTTTAGTGGTTTCCCAAAAGATTTTCGTATTATTCTGTCCCTTTTTTGGGCCGTGTCGATATTAGGCCGAAAAGAGAGATATATGAGCCCATTATTAATCAAAGCAAAACACATAATTCTTTCTTTCTGGAAAAAAAAAGAACAAGAAGTTATTAAATTTGGTTTAGCCTAATATTCTGCATGATGGTTGGATGATATACATTACGACACATCTTGAGTCTCAATTTGGTCAGATGAATCACTAGTTTGTTATTTATCTACTGATTATAAACAATTAAGTACCAGATGACTGGTTATGGTACATGAAACTTAAATGTACATTATCTTGGGGATTAAAGACCTGACTCACCTAGCATGGTCTATAAGCTTTCACTTGTTTGAGGGTGAGGACCGGAAACATCAACTCCAAGCTATTATTTAACGTCTACTGTATGGCACTCATTTGCTCATATACCATGGAACAGAGAGCTTATTGGTCCATCTTAGTTCTAAGCTCTTGAGATCCCACATGAACAGCTGTGCTTGGTAGACTTGTTGTTATGTCATGAATCACACACTCCAACAGCTGTGCCCACCCAGCATTCAATGCTTTTAATCGCTGTCTTGATGATCCATCAATACTTAACGTCTATCATGCCATCTGAAGGGTGGGGGGGTGTTCTGTCTTGTACCACGTGATCTCCGCGGATCCGTGGGTTCATCGACAACAGGCAACCCACTCATCACTATCATTCATTTGGCTACTAATTTAGTCCTCCCATCAGTTAAAGCAAGTGTTAGCTGCTGTTGTTAATTGTGATGTTGGCTAAACAAGTTGAGGAGCACGGCTTTCAGCACAGTTTACACCGTAAGTTTATGTGAACAGCAGATTAGTTTAAGGCTTGAGCTTTACATAAGTTTGTGTCTGGTGGTGCAGTTTTCTTAACATGGCTGGCTTCAGAGAGGACCGAGAAGGCACAGCTCGGGTGCAACAGCAGAAAACATGCTTCGATCGAGATCAACTGGATGCTTAATCAGAATTGTTAGTCCTTAAGATCATTTAACTCTACGTTGATGTTCAAAAAAGTAGATCATTTCTCTGCGACTATGAAGTTAAAATGCATTTCCCTAAGCTTTGAGACTTCAAAGTTTTATGGCCTGTAGTTGTTTAGCTAATGTTGTGTGGGTTTTCATCGTTAATGCACCAAGACCAACTGCCAAAGGCTATTCTGCTACTGCAGCACTGTTCATGGCTGCATAGTGGCCGAGAAGGTATCCGACAGAAGCAGCACTGTTCATGAATTTGTTTGTCCAATTAAGTGCAAATTTTTTACTGAAAATTGACTTCATGAATGACTAGTCATGCATCTGAATCCAAATGCTGCTTTGGAAACCATTTCTAGCTTTCTTCTTCACTGTTGTGTGTTGCCATTTCTAACACTATCTCAAGGTTCTGTCTCGCATTCACAGAACCCAAGTCGTAAGATGCACATATGAGTTCTATTCATGCTTGCCATATAAAAAGTTGGCCATGCCAAGTTACAATGCGAGAAGGCATAAACAATGAGATGATGATTCAGCCTAGGAGATGACCCAGCAAGTAAAGACTCAGAGTAGGTGGTAAGCTCTAGAAATGACCTGAGTTGGAGTTGGAGTTGGAGTTGGATGGATCATATCATAGGATGTGTTAATGGAACCAACTTAAGGCGTCGATGCTGATCTCTTGTTTCGGTATTGATGCCACAAACTACTACAAAAAAGAACGCAGCATTTAAAGCTTCCGAGTTTGATGTCCAGAATTATACTTGTTTTGAGATAAGAAGATGATGCTGGGGTTTCATGGCCACGTGCTACAGAGACGTGGAGGTGAGGAGGAAGGGAGGGGGGCTCATGTGGGAATCTTAGACGTGGGTTTGCCAGACTTCCAAGCCCTCCTCCTTCATTCACGCCAGCTAACACCAACCTCTCACAGAAATGTATGCGAGCGCTTCTAAGTTCCATTAATTCTGATGATATAGAGAATTTAATGAACCCCTCACATGGATCTTTGTTTAAAGGAGCAGTAGACATCTCCTTGTATGAGTTGCAAGCCTACGCCATGCATATATAAGATCAAACAAGAGCAAATCCTCCGCAAGGAAGTCCATCTATCTTCTCCCCACTGTCGATTAGCACCACTAGGATTGGCCGAACTAGGATGATGCTCTCGCAAGAAGAAAGCTCTGATTCCCTCGGGCGCTACTCGAGCACTCTTCTTCCTTTCATGTCAGACCCGAGCAGCTCCTCTAGCAGTGCGTACGTGCTTGGCGCAGTGAATTCGCCACCGCAAGAAGCTCTCTCTTTCCTCGACTGCAAAGCCGCTGCATCCGAACACTGGGCCTACTCCAACGCTTCGGTGCTTAGCTTCGAGCAAGGCGACCATACGTCTGGTGCTGGTTACCTGAGCCTTGATCATGAGGACGAGTGTGATGCTTGGGTGGCCGCCATGGATCAGAACTATCAGCTGCGTCCCCCTGACGTCAAGCGTCGAGCTGCTGCCGATCGCTCGACGCTAATTCACGAGCGAGATTCTTTCGAGGTAGAAAGCGGGTACGGTTCGGTAAGAGCTCCGGTGAAAGATAAGCGGCAAGGTCAGGTTCGGTTTGGGTTGGTGTACCCCGGCGCTGCAGCCGCTGTCGATGGCCGTCAAGAAAGCATTGGACGAGCGACGGTCCTACAGAAGCGTCGACACACGGTATCTTTTTTGTTGTTAATCTTTTTGAGTTTGATCATGCCGATACACATTAGGATAATCTATGGAATGAATCAAGCGCGGTTTCTTGAACTAAATTTAAAGGGGGAAACGAAGAAATTTTGTTCTAATTGCTTGAAATATGCAAAGCGATTCGGCACATTCTGATCTTGCATGGTTATGCATCTCGTTGCAGGATGCATGTGATGTTCCAAGTCCGAGGAAGCAGTGTGGTAGTACTGGAAAGACAAAAGACAAGTCTAGTCCAACCAAGGATCCTCAGAGTATTGCAGCAAAGGTGCCTTCATCTGCTATATCTACACTAGTAATTCGGATATGTTTTTTGTTCTCTTTATTACCGCTATACGAGCAATTACACGATCGATAGTTCGTGGATCACATCGAGCAATAAAATAGATGTTTCCTCGTTACAGAACCGGAGGGAACGGATCAGCGAGAGGCTCAAAATTCTACAAGATCTTGTTCCTAATGGCACCAAGGTCTGCCTCGCATCAGATCGATCTGGTTTCCCATACGTGTTCCTTTCATGGTCGTCTTAGCACTTATGTTTCTCCAAATAATTTCCGTAGGTCGACTTGGTAACCATGCTTGAGAAAGCAATTAGCTACGTGAAGTTTCTTCAGCTGCAAGTGAAGGTGATGCGCTTAACAAACTCTGTTAGTTTTCCTTCTTATTCAATATATCGCATGAACTAATTAACATAAAGAGATTTGCTTCTTTGCATGCCGGTGCAGGTGTTGGCTACCGATGAATTCTGGCCGGCGCAAGGGGGAAAAAATCCAGATGTTGGGCAAGTAAAGGAAGCTGTCGATGCCATCTTATCCTCTCAAAGAGAGAGGAAATCCAGCTCTAAGCAGTGAACAATTTACATAGGAGATCAAAGCCCAGGAAGGAAGCAATGCTACGTACATGAGAAACGAGATAAAGAACTCGATGCAAGTAGAACCCACAAGGAATAGTTTGAATTTAGGTGTCGATGAAGACTTAATATTTCTTTCTTTTTTCTTCCTTTCTTTATAGCTCTGTCTCTCTGACACTCGCTTTGTTCGATGTAGTGATAACTGAAATAAACTACAACATTTCAGGATTATATCGAATATTTGCCTTTGTTGTTCTCTTGTTCTAGCGAGAACACCCAGTTTCCCTTTACATGTTGAGAATCGAGATCGCCTGTTCGAGTGCCAAATCATTACCAGAAGGATCTAAATGCACAACGAGGTCCTACATTCGGTACAAGTTCGAGCTAGTAAACACACGAAGAAACAACAAATCACCAGGCTCCAAGATCAAGCTCATGAAAGTTGTGCGATTATGTCAGTGACCTAAATGTCAAACAGAAGAATAATCACCAGATGAATAAATATACATATCTTTTGACCTTCATCGATCAGGGTAACATGGGAGGTACAGCAGGTAGTACTAGAAAACGCCTTCTTTCGCCTAAGAGACTACTGGTTGATGCAACTACATGTCCTACAACACATACGTGCAGGCATGATTCTTCTTAGATGGATATTATATGGCTGGGTGATGGAAGATCTAAGAGAGGACTGGGTGATGCAAGTTTACCAAGTACCAGCTTAATTCGAGGCCGATGCTGTCCTTTAAATAGCAAGGTAAGCTATATAATCATGACAAGACCATAGGAAAAGCTTCACCGAGTATACATATACCTTCTGCTGCTATCAATTTATTTCAGCGACAAATAGAGTATAACATGGTGAAACGCAAAAACATGTCAGAGATAGAAGTTCATGTTCTTGCATTCCTGGTGGTAAGACATACAAAATGGCGGTATACGCGGAAGTACTGATTAGAATATGTTATCTTTCACGGTGATCACCGAAAGCCATTTCTTTAGTAAGTGAACCCCAATGTTAGTAGTAGGGAAGAGCAGCAGTGAGAAATCGGAAGAACAACATGGAGTGCAGCGGAGGATACGTGCCTGCCACCAAGGGAAGGAACGGTGGTGGAAGCTTCACTAGCTTCACCTACCAAAGCCTTTGCGCATGTGTGCATTAATTTCAAGCCCTCGTCTCCAGGGAACACGTTCCCAAAGATCAACCCTCAAGGACTGATGAAACCCTAGATAGCTAAGAGCAGCCGGTTGCCGTTCGTCCCTAACACACAAACGTGCCATTAACGAATGGGTTTCCCCCGGGCCCTAAGCAGAATCCATGTTTTTCCTAGGGAATAAGCTACCGTAACTCGCGTCGCAAAGAGCTCCCCACCACATGATCGCTCGATCTGCTGGGCCTCATGCGGCCTCTTCGATCTGTAGCTCGGACGCTTCTTCATCGCAGACACGGGCAGCAACGTCGTGGAAGAATGACGACATGTTGTGTTTCTCTCGGTATTAAAACGAGCGAAGACATGAATTCTTTTATGTGAAATGTCTAATGCAAGATATAGTAAATTCATATTTTATATAATTTATTATAATTTATTATATCTTTATAATACTAAATATTTTTAATTAAAAAAATATAATTTCTTGGGAGTGAAAAAATCTTCTGTAAATTATAAAAACATGTCAGCGACATTTGAAAAATTATAGAAATAGCATCTAATACTCATGAAATATATTCGAATATTAACACTTTAATCTAAAATGAGAATGTATCAATTAAATAAATAATGATAATTCTTATATAATAAATAAAATTATGAATCAGTCACATGTAACATATTTTGATGACATACACATTTATCGAGTAATAAAGATATGCAATGAACATCCGACGGTGTACGCTCCTGATAATAGATGGATTATATATTCTTCAAATGGAGATAACTTATATCATACTCCTAATAACAAAGGAATCGTACAAATATTGGTTTACTTGCCCTTGGCATGAAAACAAAATCCTCGATTAAAATGTTTTATGATTATTAATTTATATTTATTTATTTCTTCGTATATGTATTTAGGGAACTAATACAATAAAATATTATGATAGACCATGTTTCATATATGACCAGCTACCCTATAACTCTTTTCATAGGGTGCATTTTCAACATGGGTCACTTAACATAGCTATGTATACCATGTTATAATAACCACATTAATGTTTATTAAATCATAAATTTTAAGTTTATTAAATCACAAAGATATGATATATCAATAACTCTTGATCAATCTAAACTTTAATCAAAATAGTTCAATTCAACCAGGACCTAATTGAACTAGTATTTAATCTTTGTTGAACTAATTTGAAATATCCTGAATTACTCTAATTTAGATTTAATTGGGTTCAATTAGAATTAAACTAATCAAATTAGTCCAGAATCATCCTAAACAACCTCGAATCAATAAAGGATAGAAAGAAAATATTCAAATTATTTAATTAAAAACAATTTTATTAATAATTAGGAAATAAATTAGTCAAATAGGTTCACGTTATTGATTGGAAAATAAATAAATAAATATTTTAGATTATTTAATTAAATTACTAAATTCTTATATATATATATATATATATATATATATATATTCATTCATATGATTAACAAAACTAATTTTAATTAATTTCATAACCATATTACACAAACTAGGAAACAAATAATTTAAATAATAATTTAATTTATGATAAGGGGATAAAATCTCCTATTATTATTCTGTCGATAGTTGTGTTTAATGATAATAATTTAATGATGAGAGAACATAAACTTTAGTTTTTATTAAGGGGAATATTTGTTCCATTAAAAACTTGAAACATGGCAATCATGGTCTAACATACTATAAAAAACCCGAACGAATCATAAAATCTAGATCATTTATTATTAAAAAATTATTTTATTTTTATTAATTATTAATTTAAGTGTTAGAGGAATGGGAAACCCACCCGACTTCCATCTTTATGTAAATTAACTGTAAAACATGCATTTGAGTGAGCATCCGTAGCTCTCTTATGGCCTTATTAAGCTTATTATGCTTATGGCCCCAATCCTAATTGAATTAATAAGCTCTTTAGTGAGGGTAAAACAGTTTAAAGCACTGTCTATATTAAAACATTTATTATAAAATATTTATTTTCCTAAAATTCATGATTAGTAAATAAATTAATTAATAGTTTTTGGATTATATAATTGTTTATTTTCTTAAAATTCATGATTAGTAAACAAATTCCTAACTTAAGAAAACTAACTTTAAATAAATAATTCAAATAAAATAACATATTAATTATGATGATTTGATTTATGGCAAGAAAAGAAAACTGTGTGATCTGCGATGAGATAATTTACTGACGAGAGAATAAAAGCTTCGGCGTCTTCGAGGAGGTAGCACTACAAACTTGGAGGCGGCTAAAGGGGTTAGGGATGGTGAGTGCGTTTGACAACCCAACCCTTTCCTCACCTTCGTCGGGGACCTGAATGACACAAATAAAACAATGCAAGTGTTTGTCCCTCGGAGAGATGAACGATGGTCTTTCATCATCACAACACTACCTTATAACAATGGTAAAGGTTTTAAATGTCTATTGCTCCTCTCTACTAATGAAAATATCAATTCTTCCTCATTAAAATCGTTCCTCTCGCCATTCCTACAACTTTCTCTATTTAAAATCGTTCTCTTTTGAAGCCTCCAAATTTGGTTGCTTACCATTTTATTCTATTTCATTTTGGTTCGTCTTCTTTCTTCCAGTGGCATTTGTTTCCGCGTTGGACTTGGTGTGGGGGCCCAGTTATGGCTCGCTCGGCTCTTCCGATGAGAGCCTGTTTGCCCGAGGTTCGGCAACTCTTATGGGCTTGAACAGCACCAGTAAAAGGCTTACGATTGGCCGGCCCATTCGATCCATGACATGCGGCGATCTGGTCCGTCCATATTTCAACGGTCATGATCACTCCATCAAGCGTGATCCGCCCGCAGACGCACCCCTCGACGGGGAGTCGTCCATCCACGACCCTGGATCTCCCAACGCACCCCGCTTATTACCAATCGCCACGTGTACGTATGTCGACGTGGCAATATGCCATTGGCACTATTGCGGCTTTGCCATGTAGTATTTTGCTATATATATTATATATATATATGTAAATGAGACGGATTACTATCGTTTGCAACAAATAGCGAGGAATAATAGAAAGCACAAAGAAACTCTCCAAGAGAGAGAAGACGAGAGACCGTTCCGCATCCTACTTCCTTCCACAGAGCTCCTTCGGAGGCGACAGCGCCAAACCCTACCCTACTCATCCTCCAACGGTGAGATTCCCCTCCCATTCCCCATCATCCGGCTACTGATTCCAAATTATTCTTCATCTTTGGCTGGAGCTCGAGATCGGCCGCAAAGATGTCGAGATTTGCGGCCGGAATCCGGATTCTTTTGGTATTAGTTTCGACCTTTTCCCTGCTTTTGATCCCCTCCGAACCGGCCGTCTCGAGCATCGATCTTGGCTCTGAATGGATGAAGGTGGCCGTCGTCAACCTAAAGCCCGGCCAGAGCCCCATATCCATCGCCATCAACGAGATGTCCAAGCGGAAGTCCCCCGCTGTCGTCGCTTTCCATGGTGGTAACCGCCTCGTCGGCGAGGAGGCCGCCGGGATCGTCGCGCGGTACCCGGACAAGGTGTACTCCTTCGTCCGCGATATGATCGGGAAGCCTTACAAGAATGCGAAGGATCTCACGTCTTCTCTCTACCTACCGTACGACCTCGTCGAAGACTCGAGAGGGGCCGCCGGCATCAGGATTGACGATGGGGTCACCGTCTATACCGCAGAGGAGTTGCTTGCAATGGTCCTTAGTTATGGGATCACCTTAGCAGAGTCCCACGCGACGGTCCCGGTGAAGGATGCTGTGATTTCGGTGCCGCCGTATTTTGGCCAGGCGGAGCGGAGGGGAATACTTCAGGCGGCACAGCTGGCAGGAATTAATGTGCTCTCGCTGATTAACGAGCACGCTGGTGCTGCTTTGCAGTACGGGATCGATAAGGACTTTGCGAACGAGTCACGGCATGTTATATTATATGATATGGGTTCCACTAGTACTTACGCCGCTCTAGTTTACTTCTCGGCGTACAATACAAAGGAGTTTGGGAAGACGGTATCGGTTAACCAGTTCCAGGTAAAACTCTGATCACCTTAAATTCAAATGTGCTACTTAGAAAGCTACTTTTCATGAAGTGCCCGTTGTTTAGAACTCTTGGGATTATATAGTTAAATGATGTCCTATGCTTGCATTTGTCTCTACCAGCCTATCTTAGTCGTGTCTCAATATTCCTTCTCTAAAAGTAGCCAGAACTTTTTTTTCCTTGGTCTGCTTCCATTCTCTATATACATAAATGACCTTTCTTCTTATGTGGCGTCATGACCATATACAAATATACGGCCTCACAAACTGCATTTTAGAACACTGATGAAAGAATTATACTGTTACTTTCTAGGACTATGTAGAAACTTCTTAGATATATAGTTTTTCCTGGAATTTAAATGGATACTATGTGTATACTGGGAGACTGTTCCAACATCAATTAAAGAAAGAGCAGATGGAGAAACTTGCAAGTCAGGTTGATTTAATGTACAACGAGATATTGGGCTTTTTTATTTTCTATATCAACAATGATGCCTTTTAGGTTGTAACGGGTAGCCAAATCCTTCACCTTGGAATAACCTTAACTAATAGGAACCGATATGTATGCTTTGATAAAGCTGTGGGTAAGAACATCAACAAATTGAAAATCATGTAGCTTATTGGACTCATTGATGCAAAGTAACAACTGGTGTTCAGCTGTATGAAAAATCAACTATAGAATATTTTGAGTTAGATTTAGGTGTAGGAATTTTGTGGGCAATCCCTGCAAAGGCTGATGAAAGTCCTTACGCTGGAACTAAGCAATTTGGTTTCTATAATTTGCTGGAAACTCAGGACAGCATTCAGCAAATATGTTGTTTATCACCAAGTTGATCAATTATGGTTGAGAATCAATGTCTATTCGTGAGTGATATCTCTTTACAACAAAGATACAAGCAGAAAATTTAAGACCCACCAAACACAAATAAGAGGAAGCAATAATAAAAACATGGATAAAAAGAAGATTCAGTTTTGGTGTTTCCTATATTCCTTCCTAGAATATGACTTTAGTTGGGTTGAAACTTATGACTTTGATGTTGTTGTAGAATGTGACTTTACTTGCATGTTCTTGTTTCATATACTCCCATTAGTTTTGCTTTCATGCAGCATGCACATTGTTTAAATTTTGTTCTATGCAGCAAAAAATGACCTGCCATGGTTTTGTCAAAACATATTGGTTGATTTAATCATTACTTGTAGGAGTTTCATGCTAGCATATTAATTCTGACAGGTAAAGGATGTTAGATGGGATGCGAAACTTGGAGGTCAAGATCTGGAATTGCGTTTAGTGGAGTACTTTGCTGATGAGTTCAATAAACAATTAGGAAATGGGTTTGATTTGAGGACGTCTCCTAAGGCAATGGGTAAATTGAAGAAACAAGTCAAGCGAACAAAAGAAATTTTGAGTGCAAATACAGTGGCCCCAATTTCAGTGGAATCTATATATGATGACCTTGATTTCAGGTATGATCACCATTAAGCCTTGTGGTGTTGGGTATTTATTGGTCTGGATAGGTGGAGCTGCCAATCTGATTGCTGATGACTTGAAACCTATACTCTCTCTCTATATATTTTCTATTCCTATTAATATAACTTGTTTTCTGCCATCATTTGGCTACTACCATTTCTCTTATTGTACTTCTGTTAGCACTATATTATTTTAATTTATCACATCATTTAAATTGTTAAAAGTCAGTTGTGGGATGCCTAACACTTGAGTAAACCTCTGTCAACTTTCAGTTAACTTGCATTCTGTTTTCCTTGAGCTTTATTATTACTTGATTGTTGAGTTTGACTTTCATTATTATGTTCAATTAATTATGCATGTACGGTTGGATGCTTTGTCATATAAGATTTTTCTTTCCCTTAATCTGCATATCTTACTATGTTCATTTATGAAGTTTGATTGAATGACTGGTTTTATGATTGATGTTCTTAGGTTTTTCATGATTGTTTTGAAGCAGTTTATATTTTGGAATTGGTTGTACCTAAGTTATCGGTCATTTTTTAAAATTTCATTGAGCAGAAATATTTGCTAACTTTCTTGAGGTTGTTACAAAAAACTCTTTCACAAACCAGGAGACGAAGTTTATCTGTTATTATTTGTAGTAATGTTTTTAAGAGGTATTTACAATACTCAGTGATGTTATCTTAAAATTTTTTTTATGTTGTAAAAGTTATTTGTGATTGCATATTCCTGCTAGTATTTGCCAAGTTTATGCTATAATGTTATCTTCAGCTTTGCATTTACAAAGTCAATACTGAATGTATTCAATGTTTGTGTGTTTCAGAAGCACTATATCTCGTGAAAAATTTGAAGAACTCTGTGCAGATTTGTGGGAGAGGGCACTTGTGCCATTAAAAGAGGTTCTGAGAAACTCTGGATTGAAGATAGATGATATTTATGCTGTGGAGCTGATCGGTGGGGCTACTCGTGTGCCAAAGTTACAGGTAACTAGCAATAATATTTCTGTTTCTTTGGCCTTAATAACTTTGTTCCTGAAAATATGCCCTACTTATCGCATAGACAAGTTGGAGTTCTGAAAGAGGCTTTAGCCAAGAGTGATCATTACAAAAATGATCTATTTGTCGGTTTAGATTTGGATGATGTTGTTCAGGAGGTTCTTGTCAAAATGTCCCTGTTTCGGAAGTTGTGTTATAGTTTTATAACGAAGTCAAATCAACAGCCATGTACCTTATATGAAGGTATATTTTAAGCTAAAATGAAGATTGTGTAACATAGGTCGAGAAGTTGTCACCATTAATTATTATTAGCTAAAATCTAAATTTAAGTAGGGAACTACTGTAGGTTTTGTCACGACCCTGTCTTATAAGATAACTGGTGTATTAATTTCATTGAGCCTAAACCACTAAAAGTTAATGGTAGTACAGCTATCGGACCTTTACAAGCTAATCTAAGTGTTAGTCTACTTCCAATGTGAGACTAAGCCTAGTGTTACATGTCTTTATATATCTGTTACATATCTAGAGTATCTGTTTATTTCTGTATTAGTGAGGCAAATTTAAGACTCTTTTTTAAAACAAGAAAGCACTGTAACAGTTTACTTAACAATTTTCACCTAGATAGGTTGGTACTTATCATCTTGGTTGATCACCTTTGGGTATAACTGGTGTTGGATTATTAATCATAACAAACATATCAAGAAATAAGTTTGAACTAATATTCTTGCCTTCTAGATTTATTCATTTTCGGATAATTGTATTTTGTTATACTTAAACCAAAGTCTGAAGTTCAGACTCTGAACAATCAATTAGACAGGGATTGCTAATTGTTTTAGTATATATTCTATTTGGTTGATGGTTGATTCCTGCAGCAAATTTACATGATATTGCCAATTACTTTTCTTAGAAACATCTTGAGAAGTGTAAGATCAAGTTGTATAGTTTTGATATGAATAGAAGTTGCATGTGGTCCCTTATGCACACCTTTTGTAGTTTTCACTATACCTAGTTTCAATGATATATATATCAGTTATTTATCAATGCCACATTGATGATTACCTTAAAAAAGTTCGATGGTGGAAATGACTTACTACAATGTATCGTGATGCAGGCTAAGCTCCAGGAATTTCTTGGCAGGAATGACCTGGACAAGCACCTTGATGCTGACGAAGCAATAGTTCTTGGTGCATCACTACATGCTGCCAATTTGAGTGATGGCATCAAGCTAAATCGTAGGCTAGGAATGATTGATGGATCTTCTTATGGCTTTGTGCTTCAACTAGATGGGCCTGATCTTTTAAAAGATGAGAATACTGATGTGTTGCTTATACCACGGATGAAAAAAATGCCCATCAAGGTAGAAACTTTGCATTCTATTGAGTCTACTTCATATGTTTAATTAAAAATTTCTGATATAACACCTATTCTGGCTCTTAGCTCTTTGGTTATTGTCATAACCCTTTTGTTGAACAGTTATTCAGGTCTATTAAACATAACAAGGATTTTGAAGCTTCACTTAGCTATGACAAAGCAAATGAACTGCCCCCAGGAGTTCTTTCATCTAAGTTTGCACAATATTCAGTATTGGGTTTGACTGAAACTAGTGAAAAGTAAGACACCTCACCTCTGAATTAATCACTACAGAGAAGCTATTGAAAAATCTTGTTGTTTTTTATTTAAGTTGCTTTTTGTGATATTTCAATATTACATATTATTTAATTTCTTTTTGTTTATTCTTTAGTTGTTTTTTCTAATTGCTAGTGTTACATTGAACTTCTGTGTCACCTTTTTCTTTTGAAGGTATGCTGCTCGCAACCTCTCATCTCCCATCAAAGCAAATCTGCATTTTTCTTTGAGCAGAAGTGGAGTTATATCTCTTGATCGAGCAGAGGCAGTTATTGAGATAACAGAATGGGTGGAAGTTCCTAGGAAAAACACTACATTGGAAAATAACACCACTGACAGTTTTAATGTATCTACTGAAACAAGTCCAGGGAATACTTCACAAGGCAATGCAGAAAGCTTGAGTTCTGATGATGATGCTGATATCTCACCCAATGCCTCTAATGGCAAGCAAGATAACGATATCATTACAGAAAAAATATTGAAGAAGAAAACCTTTAGAGTACCACTAAAGGTAGAACCTGAATGATTATTCTGCTTTTTTGTTATTTAAAAATCATTTTCTGAATCTAGAATCTGCTTGTATGCCATAGGTAGTGGAGAAATCTTCAGGGCCAGGATCTGTTCTTTCAAAAGATTCATTTTCTGAAGCTAAAATCAGATTAGGTGCACTTGACACAAAGGATGCTGAAAGAAGAAGAACTGCAGAGCTCAAAAATAGCCTGGAAGAGTATATATATTCTACAAGAGAAAAGGTTTGTCGTGTAGTTTTTCCTATTTAATAGTGTGCTCCCTGTTATATGGTGAAGGTATTACTTTGTGAGATAATCAAATCTTTGTTGTTCTGTTCGCACTCTAACACATTACTTTATTATTTAATTTCTCTTTGAAGGATTGAAAAATATTATGAGCTCAAAACACAGTTTTTTTGGGTTATTGATGATTAAGCTTAGTTTGATTAATTTATAACAAAATTTCCAATTTAATCCAAAAATTTGTTCCACCTTTTGTAGTTTTAGGTAATTTAGCTTTCATCTCTAATTATAGTGGGGGAACTTTTTCCATCTCTGTGGATGGTTGTAGTCTGTATACCATACTAATATAGGTGTATTATAAGAAAATCATGGCTGCACAGATTGTCAACTTAGGACAACCTTTAATCAATTATTTTGGCTAGAATTTCATACTCCTCAATGGTTGAAACTGATAAACAAGGCAATGTAGGGATCTGAGATCAGGTTTCACTAAATTCTATCATGCAACCAAATTTTGAAATAAACATGTAATCTTGTATTAGTATTGCTTGAGGAAAAAAAACAATCAGAAAAGTCATCCTAGAAATATTTTGGAAGATCATAAAACATCTATAAAGAATTTTTTTTCCTGGAAAAAGATAAACAGATAAGGAAAATCAAATTGTATTATCCAAACATATTTAGAGAATAGCATGGACTATGATAGTATGATGTATAAACTTTGTTTGAGAGGAGACTTTGAGAGCAGTTATTCCTCAATGTTGGTGATGGTTCATCATAATTCTTAGTAGCTTGCCTGAAAGTTATACTCCTATAGTTACAAGCAACTCGAGAATCCTTCATAGCTCCAGTTGTTTTTCAATCTAAAAACTTGAATTTTTGTGTTGACATGTGCATGCAGCCTTTAAAAAGGATCGTTTTGAGACTTTGACAACTCTAAGTTTGGTAGCCTTTGGCATTTCTGTGAATAAGTTATGGCAGTTGAAAGAAACCATATTGTATAATACTCATATTTAACCATTCAAATCTGAGAAATCTTATTTATATTGGATGTTACCCAATTTTAACCATTCAAATTTGAGTGCAACAATGTGAACAAGTATGACACTCTGCTAACATAAGATATGATAGCCATGGGATTGGGTATTACAGGAATATTCCCATCTATCATTTAAATAATTTGATTTTCAGAAAATTCAGCTGGTAAATGATTTAACTATTATGTTCTAAACTTTTGTATCATTTAAAGTTTAAACTATTATCTCTTGCTTTAACTTTATTTGTTGCAGATAGAAGATAATGCTGAAGTTGGGAAAGTCTCATCTGAAGAAGAGCGCTCTTTCTTTGTAGAGAAACTTAGTGAGGTGGGGTTGGTCATTTATTTTACTAAGTCTCTAGTCACATGGTGCTTTGCGCTGGGTTTTAATCATTCTTTTCTGTTATTTTAGGTGCAAGAATGGTTGTATACTGATGGTGAGGATGCTTCAGCTAGTGAATTTAAAGAACGACTAGAATCACTCAAAGCCATTGGTGACCCTATATTCTTCAGGTAAATTACAGTTTAACTATCGAGGAACATGGTGGTGATGATAGATAAAAATGTATAATATCTAATACTTGATTTCTCTATCTAGATTGAACGAGTTAACGGCACGACCACTTGCTTGTGAGCATGCTCGTCTTTACCTCAATGACCTACAAAAGGTACTTAGTAATGCCAAGATGCTGATTTCACATGCTTAATTTCCATTTACTAATAAATAGAGGGATAACTCAATGCATAAGGTTCCCACCAATGGGATCCTGAGGGTCAGATATACAGAGTTTGAGTCTACATGGATAGTGTGAATCATGTTATTCGAATCCTGGACAGTCACCATGGAGCAAAACTTATTGTTGACCTGTGGTGCCAAGGCTAACTATTTAGACTGTTTCTTATTTTCCTATATGTCTGGAAAATGTGCTAATCTGATGTCCATAAGTGTCTTTGAATCCTCTTACTTGTTTGAATGCAACCTACATAAGACATCAATGTCATTGTTAGAGAACGTAAACGAGGAGGTTTTGATTTATCATTGTAAAATCTGGAGTTGCAAACTATGAAGTCAGATTTGTTAAGCTGATTCATGTTTTTCCTTGATTTGTTCAAATATCCTTTCTTGTAACAGAAAAGACATAGTTCAATCAAAATAGCTCAGACTGGGGTAGAACTTGTATAAGTGACATTATGACTTAATGTTATTAAGTATGAAAAGATGTAATTGCATGTAGTTGTCCTTGAATAACCCTACCTGGTCTTGCTCACTATTTGTAGAATATGAAATGTATGTATGATGATAACCAAGTCCATCGCAAAGTCTTTATAACAGTGATGATGGTAACCAATTCCATCTGTATCTGTTATGTATAACAAATGCATTGATTTGTTATAGACTGGCTACCGTGTAACACATCTGTTGATTATATTTTTCTGAATGTTTACAGATTGTGAATAATTGGGAAATGAATAAACCGTGGCTTCCCAAAGATAAAACTGAAGAGGTAATTATTGGCATTATATGACTTAAAAAGTTGATTCATGCAGTAGGTGATATATATTTTCTTGTAAACTATTCTCATGTTAAGAGGTTTGTAAATAGAACTGCATCGAATGAATTCTCTTGCAGGTACTGAGTGAAGCTGAAAAATTAAGAAATTGGCTAGAAGGAAAGGAGGAACAACAAAAGAGGTGTTTTCTTGGGCTTTATATATTGATGAACCTTAACTTTTCTGCAAAATGTTCCCTTGTTTCTACTATTGAATAAATTTTATTTTTCTTAATTGGTCAATAAACCATCATCTTCTACATAAGATTTGTGGGGCTAGGAAAGGTGGGGGAAGACACTAAATGTTTTATGAACACTTTGAATGGTTTGTGGCATCTAGTTTGATCATTTAAGTTGCCTACCAAAGGAGTTCAAGTATAGAAAAAGATTCATCTAGCTGACTCTAGTAATTGTGAGCTTTTGCTGTTGTGCTGCATCTGTTTTTTAAGCATTAGAAATGAGTATTCATGGAGTTTATTAGGCTGATGTTGGGTTATGCTATTGCTGCTAAAGTTGAAGCAGAAATTCTATCCATGCCCTTTCTTCTGTGACCATTTACCATGGGAACTACCTCAGAATTGTTTTTGCTTTTTCTTAAGCACTGTCATTCTCAAATTTGTGAAAATGAACTTCCATTGTAATGTTTTGTATAGTATAAAATTTCTGCTGATCGTTACGTGGATCAAGGAATTAAGTACCAGTCAGTATGGTGTGTACCAGACCATAACCAAGGGCAGGTTCTGGACCATATAGGCCTGTACCTGTCTGTACTTGTTTTCAATTATTTTTTATTTTGATATCGGTTGATCTACCTGTACTATACAGATCTATCAAGTTACTGAAACCAGTATCAGATCTAGATTTTAGTCCTGGATATCAATATATAGATCCTTCACACACTGGTTTTGGATAATTTGCAATAGGTTAAAAGCAGCATGATAAAAGCTAGATGGACTTTGGTAACATCAGGATGTCCAAACACATGAGCATATAGGGTTTCGAAAATATTTAGGATTTTTAGTTGTGTGATAAAATATAAATTACATCTAGGGACGGTCTAGTTTGGTTGCACTGCCTAACATCTCAACAGTATACTATTTGGTATTAGCTCTCAGGTGGATGTTAGAATATTTTGTGAAAATGTTGGTTTGCCTGACATCTCAACATACCATAGTGTGATCAGCAAAACCTTCCAATGATTTTTTGCCTTTGGTTTGAATTTGGGTTCACTCAATTAGTGTTTTTTTTTCTTTGTTCCAGGACTTCCATCTTAAGCACACCAATCTTCGAATCAGAAGAAGTATACCAGAAAGTGGCCAAGCTTCAGGATAAGGTAAGGGAGCTCTGTACTGTGTACATAATATAAAAGCAGGTTAATCAATTTCATCTTGTGCTATTTTGACATACCAAAAATCCTGTGTTTTTAGGTTGCAAGTGTCAATAGGATTCCAAAGCCAAAACCAAAAATTGAGAAACCTCCAAAAGAAGAACTAGTGACCCAAGAGAACAGCACAGGCACCTCAAACAATACTTCTGGTGAGCCAACGCCTGAGGCAGGGCACACCACGCAAGATTCTGTTGATTCATCCCATGCTGGAACTGATCAAGAAAGAGCGGCCCATGATGAGTTATGATCATCTCGTCTCATCACCGGCTCCATATCTAGATGGATAGCTATTGATTTTCAGGGAATATACCACAACTACAACTACAGATGAGCTCAAAACACCAGGCATTATTTCTTTCTCTTCAGCAAATATAGGCATTTTGGTCATTTACATGAAAGGTAGATTTCTGCAGCGAGCAATTTTGCTAGCCCAGTGTTGCTTCTACGAGCTATAAGCTATACTTAGGATCATATTTTTGCAATATTTAGTTTTTTTCCCTTGCTTCAATGGCTGCAGAGGGGCAGTGCCTTTTCATTTGGTGGATTATGCTACCCCCACAAAACAGGGGATGATATCTTGTATTCTCTTAAGTAATTGAGTGGACATGCAAATCCAAGAGGCTGATGGCATGTTGTAGAATTTGCACTGGCTCTAATATGTACTTCTGTTTTAGTGATTGTGGACTGCAACTTTGATGAAATGAGGAGCTTTATGAAACAGTGATTTAAAATTTTTATTCTTGCCCATTTGTCCTTTTATCTTTACTTTAATGGATGATCCTTGACATTGTTATCCGTATCAGATTTCTCTTTTGGGGGGTTGGCAATCATGCTAGTTCGGATTATTGTTTACAGTTTGGCAAATATATACCTCATCGACTCTCACTATTGGCAAATAAAGATGCAAGTGATTAATGGCAAGGAAGGAACGATCGACATTCCCTGTCAGCACGAGTAGACACAGTGATTAATGGGGATAAAATAATTATTTTTGAAAAAAAACTTTGGAGGTTTCTGCAAGGAAAAACACCATGTCTTTTTCCGGGAATTCGCTCATATTTTTATATACAACATTTGTATTTTTAACTGATAAGAGAGAGCCCTTCGCGTATCGGATAGCACCAGCGTGAGCAGAGCCCTGAACTAACCCCGATGGCGGAATCGCTGGGTCTCGCCTCCGTCGCCCGCGAACTCTTCTTCCTCCGAGTAGGAGGACGAAGAAGAAGAGGAACAAGCAGCGGCTCTATAGGTTATCTTCTGCTCTCCTCTTCTTTTTCTTCTTCTTCTTCTCCAAACGCTCCCTTCTCCCCACTCGCTTTCCCCACCCGGGGTAGCCGTCCTTCCTCTTGCTCTCTTTCCGCTTCTGCCAAGTCGTTGATCCCGAAAGGCCCGGTATTTAGTGAAGGGAGGGAGGAGGATGAGCGCCGCCTCGTCTGCCCCGGCTGCGGCATCTTCATGCAGGACACTGACCCCGATCTCCCCGGATATTACCGGAAGAAGGTTGTCGCCCCCCGGAAGGAAGAGGAGAACCACTTTGGTGGCCTCTCCTCTGATTCGGATGGATTTCTTGAAGAAGAAGAAGAAGAAGAGGAGGGAGGGATCGATGGATTGGCGTCAGGGTCCGATCTTGAATTCGATATGGATGACCTTTCTGATAGGATTTTGATGGAGGGAGCCAAGGAAGGAGAGGCAGTGGATGATGGGATCGATTGGGACTTGGACTGGGATATTGAAGAGGACGATGAAGAGGATAACCTTAGGAAGGAATTGGATGGGTTTGCTCCAGCCGGCGTTGGGTACGGGAACAACACGGAGGAGACGTTAGAGAAGCGCAAGAAGGAGAAGGTTTCCAAGTCGGAGAAGAAACGGAGGATGAAAGAGGTTAAAAGAAGAGACACAGAGGAGGATTCCGTCACAGTGTGCGCTCGATGCCACTCATTGAGGAACTACGGGCAGGTGAAGAACCAGAAGGCAGATAATTTGATTCCCGACTTTGATTTTGATCGGCTGGTCACTAGCCGGTTGATGAAACCTGCGACCAGTGCACCGGTGGTCGTCATGGTCGTCGACTGTGTGGACTTTGATGGTTCCTTTCCAAAAAGGGCAGTGAAATCCTTGTTCAAGGCATTGGAAGGAGGCAATAGGCACTACAAACCATCTAAATTACCGAAACTTGTTCTCGTTGCAACGAAGGTCGACCTTCTCCCTTCTCAGATATCACCGACGAGGTTGGACAGGTGGGTTCGCAACCGGGCTAAGGCTGCAGGAGCTCCTAAGCTTAATGCTATTTATCTGGTAAGTGCACGCAAAGATCTTGGAGTGAAGAACTTGATTTCTCGTATCAAAGAATCGGCAGGACCCCGTGGGAATGTCTGGGTGATTGGGGCTCAGAATGCTGGAAAGTCTACTCTGATTAATGCATTTGCCAAAAGAGAAGGTGTAAAGACTACAAGGCTCACCGAGGCTGCAGTTCCAGGGACCACATTGGGCATTCTCAGGATTCCAGGTATCTTGCCTGCAAAAGCAAAGATGTATGACACTCCTGGTCTTTTGCATCCATATCTGATGACAATGAGGTTGACAAGAGAGGAGCAGAAGATGGTGGAGATCAGGAAGGAGCTGCAGCCAAGAACATTTCGGATGAAGGCAAGTTGCTCGATACTGTGTTTACAACCTTTTTAGCTATCTGATTAACATGCTTAGGGCCTATATTTGTTAGCTAAAGTTTTTTGTCATAGATGTTTTGCACCTAACTAGTAGTAATTGGTGACACCTATTACAATCAGATTCAGGGTGTTCTTCGACCAATTGAGAAATCTAACAGATTAGTTACTCTTCTGATTCTTTATCATTGTAGTAGCATGCCCTTCAGAAGGATAGCACACTATCTGTGCACTTCTGTGACAAGCATGTGAGAAGATCGTATAGCTCCAGAAATATCTTCCAACATGACTCACTTATCACAAAGCCACTCTTTGATGAAGTATTTTTTTCACCTATTTGTCGAGTGTTACTGCATATGGATTTCATACATATCATGAATGTTAGTTCAATAATGGCTTTGAGTTATATCTTTGTGGTAGAATTTTGCATCCAGAAGTTCCCGTTCTGTTAGAATTTGTTTGATCTTGGTAATTTCATCTGATAACAAGGTGCTGTTGGGAATCTTGAACATGCTTTTGCATCTGGATTTTGAACCTTCTGTGGAATAAATAAATAATCTGCTAATATTACATCATGGAGTTAAAACTCAATGTTCCACATGTTCAGGGTAACTGACTTGTAACATGCTCAGAGTTGCATGCAGTAAAAGTCTTGCATTATTCTTCTTTCTTATAGACTTTTGGTATATAAAAAGTAGAGAACAACTTTGATCCACTTTGTTCTTAGGGATCATTCACAGACGAGCAGCAAGATTCTACTGCTAGTGAGAGCAAATGCTTTATATTCAACTCTTCAACTAGTTGTCACATTTTTTTCTTTTGCACTGTCTGTTCTTCTTACAAGCTATGTAGATATCTAAATTGAACTTTGACCACAAGAGCTATTCATTTGTTTTGTTTCTCGGGTGACCGTTGTATTCTTACATGCTAGATCTATACTGTCTGTCTTTGAAACTTGAAACCAAATTGTATTTTTCAGTGTTGGATCTGCATACAGTTGTTTCAGAAAAACAGTTGTTAGATGGAGATTCAGTTGCAGATGTTTGTTTCATGCTGGTTCTTTGTTGTATTAACATTAATATTGTGGTTTATGTCCATTTCAGGTCGGGCAGACTGCTCATGTTGGTAGTTTGATGAGATTAGATTTGACCCAGGCTTCTGTGGAAACAATTTATGTTACCATTTGGGCATCATCAAATGTATCTTTGCATATGGGAAAGACCGATAATGCTGATGAGATAAGAACGAAGCATTTTGGCATTAGGCTCCAGGTGGGTTTTTTTTTTTATTTCCACCTTTTGTGGCAGTAAACCCTCTATTCTGCTACTGCTATGTCATCATGCACTCCTACTTTGTCTTCAATCAAACCCTTAATCATTGTCAGAGACTTTGCTGTTATTTTTTGTTCATTTAACTTACCAAGATCCATTTCTGTGCTTGGGTGGTTAGCCTCCTATTGGGCAGGACCGAGTGGCTGAACTGGGTGAATGGAGACAGCGAGAGATGAAGGTATCTGGTAACAGCTGGGACGTGAACAGCATCGACATTGCAGTATCTGGTGTAGGATGGTTTTCACTGGGACTGAAAGGTGAAGCTACTGTGGTGCTGTGGACCTTTGATGGTATTGAAGTAACACAAAGAGAGCCCTTGGTTCTTGATAGAGCTCCGTTCCTGGAGAGGCCGGGATTTTTATTACCAAAGGCTATATCTGATGCCATAGGTAAGCAAAGCAGGATGGAGGCCGAAAAAGAGAAGATGAGAGAAGGGCAAACAGATTTTCTTCTTAATGCAAGCATCTAAATTTCATCTGCGATTGTAGACTATAGCTTCCTCGGCAAGCCTTTGGTTTGGTTTGTACCAAACAAGCATTGCAAGGAAGAAGTTTCTGAAGAGAGTATTCTCTTTGGACTCTTTATGCAACCGAATACACCCTACTAGTTTCCTTTGATAAAATATCTTCTGTTTTGCCTTAAATCTTACGTGAAAGTGTTATGCAATAGATCGGTAGAGATTCTGTACCATGGAAGTCATGAAATTTGTCATTGAGGATAATCTTGGCAAAATTGTGAAGCTGATAATTACAGGATGAACGTTACCTGAAGTATGGACTACTTAGATCTTCCAACTTATGTATCTTGGAAATTTTTAACATCTCCGGCTTTCCTTTTCTGTTGTGCATTTGCATTCAAATAAGGTGGCTCAGGAGCACACTAGCTTTACTCTAAGGTTGTTTACAAGTCAATGCAGTTGTTTGCTTTAAGGAGTGCATTGATCCATCTCATCCATGTCTCGTGGAGGTAATTTACAGCTGCTTTCAAATGTTAGGGAAAAGGAGCATCACGTTCGCCCATTTGTGTTCAAGGTATGGGTCTCCCTTTTTCTTTCATATGGTGATTGCTTGCTTCCCTCTGTTGCAACTTGACTTGTGTTTATTCCCTGGTAATTGGGAAATCGGGCTTTGAGTCATTTATTCTCCTTTCAAACAAATTCATGCCATGAAGTTCATCTGATGAAAATTTTGTCCTAGTTTTGCTTAGACTGTCTTTGTTGTATTGGGAGTCGATTCAAATTCTAATTAGAATTATCATTAGAATGCTGATGTGCTTTTCCTTCATGCAGGTTGTATTCCATGAAGGTACCCTTCAAGTTTCCTCTAACCTTGTTGTTGTGTGTGTATTTTACCATCATATAGTTGTATTTTTCCTGTAAAGAATACAATTTTTTGATGAGTAATTTCATTTCCGTCTCGATCCTGATCGTGTTTACACTGATATACGTCAATCCTTGCCTCGTTCTTAGCTCAAAGCTGATCAAGTTCGACCCGGATAGGCTGGATTGCGACAGTCTGGATTGCAACAGTGACTACAAATGATACAGGAACGGAGAACGTTCTTAATCCAACGTTGGCTTGTGTTAAGACTTGGAAGATTAATGTGTCACTCTGAGCTTGGATACACCTTCACCTAGCCAAGTCAATCCATTTGTATCTAGCAATTCTTTCAAGTTTTCTTGTGTCCTACGAAAACGAAATTACCCTCATAACGTGAGATGGTGTTCTTGATCAGGTCACGGGCTATGACTTTTTTTTTGTGAAGCATCACAGTCGCAACCTTTTCCGTTCAATCCTTCAGCACAGATCACTATATCGGGAGAAAGAGAGAGGAGCACAAATTGCCGAAGGACCTAAAACATATCTGACTGGTAATCAAAAATATTAATTTTAATATCTCATCGGTCCCGTAAGCCAGTCAAAATTCTCCTGAAGGTAAGATAATCTAGAAGCAGGGTCGAGGAACTTGTTTTAGAAGCGATGTCCATCTTCAACGCATGAACAAGTCAAATGAACCATCTCTTCTATCGTACGACGAGCCATGAGACTCCTAACGTTGTTCACAAAGGTCGAACTTGCCGAAGAAGTCTATCGATCTGCTTCCAGCCGACTGTTTGAGTCAAACAGCTAATCCAAGTTTGATGTACGGGTTAGTCTGACTTACTCAAGCTGGATTCAGCAGTGAGACCAAAGACTTAATGGGGCGAAAGAGGAAGAGAATGCTGGGAAGGGACCAAACATGCTCTGACTTGGTCAACAATCCCCATTGTTGTTTGTAATCTTGTCCTCTTGAAGCTTTGACTGCCAGAATAGCAGCAATCCGGTTGCTGCTTCTCTCCCAATCGCTAGATCAAAGACAGCCGCTTTCCGATCACTAGATCCAAGCTAAATGAATCCTTCTTTGACTGCCAGTACTGAAAGCTTCCTATCAGTACGAACATGGAAAATGGATATAAGAAATATCTGTCCATCTTCATCACCCATTGTTACGTGTTGAGAGTATAAGGAATCAAAGTTCCCATCTTTCTTTGTTACAGGCCAAATAATGTTCAAGCTCATCCAAACCTTGAAGTAATACTCTTTCAGCTGGCAATCTCTCCTGTTTGCAGTCTGCAGAAGCTACTGAGAGCCATATGTAGCAGAACATCTTCTTCAGTTATATATCGGAGACCACCACGAAGCTGAGAAAGAGCTATATATCGGAGACCATATTGATTCAACCATGAAAACTCAATACATCCATTGAACTGCAAAAGAAGTACATAACACTCATCCCTTCTACTTTGTTTGCACATGCCAAAGTACTCACGGAGGAGGAGAAGCATAAAAGAAACCAGAACAGAGTTCACGTAGGAATTTTAGTCACAGGGCTAACAAACGTAACCGGCGGTCACCGGACTCTTCTGGGCGAAAGAAGGCAACGGGCTCCGCAGCGGGGAGCGCGGTGTGGGCACCTCCGCGAGCTGGCGTCCGTCGGCGTCGTAGTAAATGACCCCGGAGAAATCCAGCGGCTGGCACTTCTCCCCCATCAGAATCGTCCTCCGCCACACACCGTCCTCGCCCTGCATCTCCTCCTCCAGCTCTCCCTCCGTGTCCTCGTCGCCGAAGCCTCCATCCCTCTCCTTCTTCTTGCCGCGGAAGGAGGGGATGAAGCTGGACCGGCGCCGGGAGAGCTTCCTGGCCGCCCGCGACATGTTCCTGGACCAGGCGGACACGAGGGCGGTGACCGCGTGGAGCAGCCCGATCGCCATGGCCTTACCTACGGAGCTCGGCCTGGAAGGCGTTCGGATCGATGCCTTCAAGGTCTTCTCTCACATCACGCTCGCACACACACACATATATATATACATAGGGAGAGGAGGGAAACACAGCGGTCCGGGATTGGACCGGGTTTTTTTAAGTAGAAAATTAGCATGGGAGTCGGTCCAACCAAAAAAAAAAGGGGTTGCTTAGGAAGTAATGGTCATATTGTGTGCGCGAATGGCCAATAAGAAATAGTAGATGAGCATCAAAAGAAAGAGGAAAAGGTTTATGATTCCCTCATAAGCTTTCCTTTTGCTAAATGATATCTTTGTGCATTAAAAATTAGGGTTTATCAGATATTCCTCATCAGTAATTTTATTGTTGGTCGGCAATTTCTAATCAAATCCCATTCATCACTAACATAGATTCCCACTCCCAGTCTTGCCTTCGATTCTATCATACTTTAAATCCACTTGCACCTCAAAGTGATTGCTAGTAAAGGTGTGCGTGGGAGTGTATCACCATTTGCAAAACATATGGATTCTCTACGATCTCCATTTCGGTCACATCCATCAAATCATGTCTTACAACCAAAGTTACTGACCAAAGAAAGCATATCCATTTGCCTCCAATTTGAACAGGTAAAAGAGATGGCTGATCCTAATATAACATGGAAGGAAGAAAGTTTAGGCAGCTTTCCTTTGTTTCCTTTCCGCAGCCATTTCATTTTAAGGGAGTCAACCTGCAGAGATTGGGTCGAAGATTTTGTCCAAACTCGTATTTTCCTCGTTTGGCGTCACTGCGTGTCTATCATCGCCCACCATGACTAAGACCGTAGTGCAGTGGCCGGCGCAATGGACCCAACTCACATCTCACCGAGCTCCAATCCAGGAAGGACAATCCATGGATGTCCACCGGAGATGAGTGGGAGCTTTTTACACTTGAAGAAGTTGGTTCAGCAGCATTTCGTCGGAGATAGAACAGCACACATCAGAGACATTTGTGGCTCGAGAAGATACAAATGGCAGCGCAAGTCAGTTCCTTGTCATCCATTAAGCTGACAAGCTGCGTAGATAAACTGGATAGATAGATCAGCAAGTGGTGACCAACCCCTGCCAAGAACGAGACGGTGGCATTCACCGCCGGGGTGGCTCATCTTACATGGCTGGAAGCATGCGGGAATCTCTTACAAGTCCCTGATAAATTAGTTCGTCCAAAATGCTCTACTGTGGCAATTAAGCAGTCAAATGATGAGCACTTCAGTGGGCCGTCTTAACGCTAAGCTGTAGGATGGTTTGATATGCCATCGTACACGAGCAATGATAGAACTGTTTGGATTCTTGCTGTGTTTCAACTCTCATATAAGATACACCGACCTTCAAGGATTCGCAGACGGCAAGTAATCGGTGAAGAACATGAGCTGCAAAAGCTCTCACGAGCTTCAGATCTTTTGTTTATCCTTTGGCTGTGGTTGAAGGTGAAGGTGCATCAGAAGGCAAGCAACAGTTATCCTTACTCGAAGTCAGCATTGAAGACCAAGTCTAACAAGTTAGGTTGTAGTGGAATGATAACGGAGGTGGGCATCGAAAGACCCACTTCATCTGCTCAACAGGTCATTCTTCTCTCTAAAACCTACATAGTAGTTGGGTCAGTGTGAAGGTCAACGCACAAGGCCAAAGACATAATAAGCTCACATTTATCACGGGACCAGAGTTGACTTACTCATATATGTGCTCTCTTCCCAAACATATTAGTCTGTGACTTGATGATGATCTTCCAACCAGTCATCTGAACTACTCTTGTTAAGAGATCATTTGTTTTCTTCACCTTGACTTGTGTATCAATAATGCATGTCCATTGCAGGGTCGTCTTCGCTCGCACATGTTAAGTGTACTAAACCTTCAATCATTTGATGGCAGAAAATTAAAAGATGTATAGGTTAGGATGCTTGATGTCAGAAAAAATAATATATATATATATATATATATATATATATATATATAATTTTGTACTCTATTTAGGTTGTGGGAGGAAAGAGAAGGCTCAAGATGTGGTTATGGGCCTTTAAAGGGTCTCATTGAGTACTAGCCCGGTCCATGACCTCTGGTGTATCGAATTTAATTTGGGGCTAAAAGAATGCCTTATTGGCTCCATCATATGGAAATTGAAACTACACCACTGTGTGAGCTTTGCTATTATTGCACAATAAGGAATAAATAGGGGACATGAATTTTCTTTTTCATTCGTCTCCATCAATATTAAACGAAAATGCGGTGCATCATGCGAACAAATAGTTAATATTCCAATATCACCAATCTTGATGCATCGATCTTGATCTAACAGTTAAAAACAGTTATAGTCTCACTAATTTCCAACGACTCCTCGGAAGCAGTCGTCTTAGTGTACGGAATAGAACACTGCTTGCTCTACTCTCAGCCTAAACGCTGCCCGCCTCTCGGTGGCACGACCGGAGCCAAGTTCGGCAGCTGGTTTCCCTGGGAGTCGTACAGGATTTGGCCCGAGAACACCAGGGGCCTGCACCTCTCCCCCATGATGATGGTCTTCCTCCATAAGGCCTCTTCTACGGCTTCGCTGCAGAGGAGCTCTCCGTCCTCCTTTGGCGGAGTGCTTGGGATACTGTCTGTATTCTCCTTTGCCATCTTGGAGTGCTTGCGGGTGGTGCAGAGGGAGTTGACAATAGAGGCGACCGCGGCCACCAAGGCCACAAGGAAGAACAGAGCGGCAGCGGCGTTGGAAGCGGGTGAGAAATTTGAGAGAGGAGCATGTCGGGCCATGTTTGCTTGTGTGTGTGTTATTGTTGGACCAGGCACTTGCCTTTTAAGCAGGAAAGGCAAGGAGAGGATGGTGTTTGGCGACGATGGAACCGGACAAAGAGTGAACATCTCCTCCATTTCGTTTAAAATCTCATGCAACACACCTCTCTCTCTCTCTCTCTCTCTCTCTCTCTCACACACACACACACAAACACAATAGTCGCACAGAATTCTTGGGAAGCTGACTGCATCTGAGTCAGTGGAGAGGCATTTTATAATTGGGATGGTTAAAGTGTCGTTACGGGGGGTCGGTAAATGTGCTCCAAGAAAAGAGAGTGGGGGGGGGGAGGAGATGCTTACGAGCGAAGATAGCCTGATGTTTCAGTGCGACAAATCAATGAGGCCAAAGCTTCCGGCACAACTTTGCTTTCCATTTGCAATGGAGAGGTTGAGATGTGAACTCCCACCCTCGTTTATATCTACTTGTTTGTTCCTCGTTAGTTTGTATTCGAAGCTCTCGAAGTGCTCTGTTGCTGTCATTCCGTGCTCGTGCAGCAAGCCAGAAGACATCAATAATTTCACCATGGCTTTTTGGGTTTTGATTCGTCTGAATTGGCTAGTATGATATAATTCCATTAGAAAAGTGTATTATTCTAAATGACAACTACATAGGGTCGGATGATTCGGCCAACTTCTTCGGAAAGATCCATACATATTAGCAAGTGTAGGACACGCTCAGAGCATCACCACCCAAGGAAAGTGAGAAAACAAGGGGCAACTTGAAATTACATTTCAGATGTTGCTGTCGGAACTCTTTCAGGCCAAACGACTGTTTCTGAAAATTCCATGCATGAGAAACACAGACTCACAAACACTATGCTGTCGATATTTGCAACCCACATTTGGAAAGGGATTAGGGATATTGGATTTGATGTCATGCTGGCTGCATATTTAGCACTAATATGCAATAATTGCTGGACATAAATAGAATCCAAAATATCAAATCAAACCAGAGATCCACATGAACACTAAAATATGAGACTGCAATTGGCTACGCTATAGAATTGTAACACGAATAGATCAGGAATGTACTTTGGGATCATAAAGAGGTAACATAAAAAAGAACATATGAGATCAAACTAACAGCGCTTGGCTTGCGCTTCACCAGTCACCCGATACCATTAGCAGCCTGGACTGGCATCATCATGTTACGTTATTATGTGCTCACCACTTAAGCACTAAGGACAGAACAAACGATAACGTTTGTAGGAAAAGAAAGTTTCTCATTTTGAAGAGACTTCAGATCGACGCTTACCAGCAGGTAGTTCGGATGGAGTGCACATGAGTGCTCTTTGCTGCAGCTGCCTCAGGCTCTGCTCCATGCTAATCTGAACCATCTCAGCTAACATTTTCTTTGCCTTTTCTGCTTGCTCGTGGCCGTCGATCTTAGACACGATGCTACTAACAATATTCTGCAGCGTATCCGCTTGTAATTCAGATCTCGGATACGGAGAGTCCCTCAATAACTCTAGGAGTCGATGGGCTTTGCCTTGAGATTTCGATGTCCCTTGAACGGTGAGCTCAAGAAGACCTGGAATGACGCCTTCTTTGAGAATGACTTCTCTGTATCTACTCCGGTCGCTCTCACACATCGTTAAGAGGGCTCCAACTGCATGCTCTCTGCTCTGAAGAGATCCTTCTTCAAGAATTTCCACCACCGTGAGCACCCCAGCTTCCTCGGCCATCAATGCAGTTCTCCCTTCATCAAAACCAACCAACGATTCCAGAAGGGCACAGCATTTTTCAGCTGTTTTCGAGGACTTCTTGTGGGTCTTGAGAAAGCCGATCAGAGGAGGGATAGGATGGAGTAAGAGGATAGTTTTGAGGTTATCTGTGATGGTGGAGAGATTGTAGAGAGCTGCAACGGCATCTTTCTTGGCTTGCTGGCTTCCATCTTTAAGGACATTGACAAGGAGAGGGATGGCTCCAGAGGCACTTATGCTGGCTTTGTTGACTGATGCAGCAGAAAGGGTAAAGAGTGCAGCAGTGGCGTATTCTTGTAAATCAGAATTTGTGGACTCTAAGAAAACAATTAGTGGTTCGAGTGCACCTGCTTCCACTATGCTGATCTTGTTCCTGTAAATATCGAGCACGATGCAATTCAGGTCAGCATATTTTGAATTTTTCTCCACCAAGTTTAACACAATTACTGCTGCAAATTAATTAAAGAACCAAGTGTGGTTCTAACAGTCGCAGTAAATCTTACATATTGAAGTGCACCAATGTCTAGAAATCACCATGCATAAAACTAAAAAGTGTGAATTAAGACAGTTCGTTACTCCGACAAGATAAACCTGTAGGTTTTACACTTCTACCTTTGTGTCAACCGAGATATTGACTTCTGTTACTCTTTCTCTCGAGGCGTATAAGCAGCATTAGCAATTCAAGAAAGCATATTTAGGGAAAAGAACACATTCTAAATCAAGAATATCGAGAAAGATGTTTGTATCCTTTGTTTTGCTACGTAAGCTTGCTTTTTACCCTCATATGAATTCAATACTAAAAATGTATCGAGACTATGACTTCGTGCCAACCTGAGCTTCCCATTTATCCTCATAAGAACTAATACAGAAAGCTCCTCTGGTCCTAGGCAGCACAGAAGAATCCCTAGAAAACAAAGAACACGGTTGATAATAGGCTAAGAATACGACGGTGGACCTAGAAGTATTCTACATCATCAAGTTCAAGAAGAGCAATCCACTGAGCTTCCACAAACCTAAACAAATCTGGTAAAGTAAAGAAGATACCAGCTAAAAGGTGAAATTTAGAGAACGGCCAAGATGATACACAACTACTTTCACTGATTGCTTAACGCTGATCGAAAGAAAAACTATATTCATGAGTTTTTTTTTTCATTTTCTGCCTCAAAATTTTAATAGTCTAATCATACCTTAACATTGAAAGTTTCTTTACAGGTGGACCACAAAGTCAGACTATTTTTTCTAACAAATAATGGTGGCAAATGAGATTTAAGATGCATGAAATATATATAGTAACCAAAATGGTGATATAACGAAGCAGAAACCCCATTGAACTAAAGGTCATACACCTTCTACAAATCCTGGAAAGACACTCAGAGTAGCAACTCTACATTTCTTGTTATAAATGGTAAACTCATTCAATAGGTAGGCAAACTTGTTCTAGAACCTCCTTAGGCTTGAATTTCTGACAAAATTCATAATTGAAGCACAGATTACCAGACAACAAGCTCCTTTTTTGTCACACCAAATAGATGAAATGCATTGTACTTCCATTTTGAAAACTCAATAACATACGGTAAACATCTTCCTTTCTTGACAAAATTATGAAATAACAGATAAAACAAGGATATTTTTATTGGATGGTTTTTCTTAAGCTAAAGTGCTTTTTTTTAAAATTTGGTATCAACCTTTCGGCTAAGATGTAACTTCTGTAACGGGGTGTTTTTCACAATATCACAAAGTTGTGAAGTGTCATAACTAATTTCCTCAACCAAAAAGATAAAAATTCCTCACCTACTAAATCTAGACTCATTCTTAATCTAAATTCATATGATATCTCTGCAAGCAAACAAAAAAATGTTTTTTTTTTGTCCCAACAAACTTAAGTTCCAAAGAGTCAAGACAAAAACAGAAAAGAAAATCATCACAACAGCTTAAAATGTTAAAAGATTTATTCACATAGAAAGATATGATAAACGCGACCCTATAACCCATCGATTTCACATAAGAAGAGAAGGCAACGCAATAGAGGCAAAAGAAAAATAACAGCAGCATGAGAGGAACGAAAATTTTCTCCACCGTAAACAACATATAATTGTACCCAACTAATTTTTCCGAGGGCAAAAGAACAAAGATCTCACCTTTCATCCTTAACAGCAAGATTCAGGAGTCCGAGGATGGCAGCCTCGCTGGACCCGGAGCTTCCAAACCGAAGCATCGACACGAGTGGCTCGATGGCGGCGGAGAGATTTCGCCGATTCCTGGAAGACGTCTTCGTCAGCCTCCGGATCTCCAACGCCGCCTGGACCTTATGCTCCTCCGTTCCATACCTAATGCGATCCATGATTCCCTGCAGCTCCGCCAGGGAGACCCTCCTTTCGCTGCCGCAATAGCCGGAACCCTCACCGCGGGCCTGAATCTCCGACAAGGCCATCCCTAAAAACATGTATATCTCCCCGGGAAATTCGTCCTCGTCTCCCCCTCTCCCTTTCTTTCTAGTAATAGTAAGGCTAGGAAGCGGTGAAGAGGAAGGACGGAGGAGGGGAAGGGGGCAGGAAAGGGGGTTTTATCACGAACGATAATGGCCGAGGTTAACGGCGCCGACGCTTTCGCAAACGAGCCGTTAGATGTGGTGACGGGGCAAGCGGAACCGTTCGTGTCGGCTAGCCTTGACCGAGGCGGTTGGATTTCTTGCGGGCCCCTGTGACGTCGAGATTGTTCGACGCTGATCTCCTCGAAGAGATAGCACCGGTCAAACCTTGTTAACGATTTCGGGCATGAAGTGTCGTCGTATGTTACATACACAATCACGTACACGCTGATCTCTCTCGCGAGCTCACAGAGCGAGGCGCTCATTGTATGGACCCCACAGGTCGAGATTTGGAGGGCCAAATCTTTTGGGTAAGAAGATTGGGACGTAAATGGGGTCTCTTATTTTAATGAAGGCACGTCAGAAAGGTCGCAAGTGGCCCACATAAATCGGGCCGAACCGTTGGGGTGGATTTGACCCGGCTTATCCCAATTTGATGCCGAGGCGTGTCCCAAGCATCAACCAAATCTTAACACGCATCTCAAGGCACGATGAATTCGAGTCGCGCTTTGCATCTTAATATCTCGTCGAGGAAATTGACTTCACGGCATCGAGAAATATTGATGAATATTTTACGTATATTTATTTAGTATTATTAGAATGTCATTATTGTTCGAAATATCTGCACCAACTCCCCACGACTCACATGCGTACAAATTTAGGTGGCGATTGTCAAACCCGGCCCCACCGTGGAGTGATGTGTTTCAAGGTACAGAAAAGGGTAAATTGCAAATGGAACATTCATTTATAGCGTATTGAGGGGAAAATTCGAGGTCTGAGAATCGAGATATCCCATTAATTATAGAGTGATTAGCCTTTGTTCTAATATCAGATTAAAATATAAAGATAAAAAATTAATCATAACATCATTAGTTGGCGTATTCATTCATTGGATCCCTTACGACGTGTGCGATTATTGGTGCCCAATCCAAATTTGTCTCCATTGTCATTTTGTCAATGACATCTTCCTACGATTCAATATGTGGTGCTAATTGCACCACTATTGTTAGGTAAATACGTTTCTTGCACCTCCCACCTACAATCACTCTCATAATTAAAGTTCCATGCAGGTGTCCAACGTGATTTATATCACAATACGCGTCTAGAATGAACACATGGATTTCACGTAGGAAATGTGTTTCGAAGACAGAAATGGGAAGTGGCCATTGCAAGAGGTCAATTAAGCAGACAAAAAATATTCTCAAATGAATCATCACTCTTGATTTCATCAACTACTCTCCTCGATCATAAACTACTGTGGCGTGGGGACAACAGCATATGACAATTAAGCGTGTGGAATTGTCAACAATAATTATTGTTGACCTAACTGCGTGATGCTGCTCAAACATAAAAATATGGCACATATGTAGCTTCTGATATTTGACCAGTTCACGTACCTTTTGAGTGATAATATCTAAGTACTGATAGGGTATATTATGGAATCTGCCATGTGGACTCGAACCCCGCCACATCAGTCCGAGTGCGAGGCCTCGGGATGAAGACACAAAGCCACGTCGTAAGTTCCACCAGAAACCCGGGATGACAGTCGCCCTCTCCTTGCGCCGTCCAACATCGCACTAACCAATTCGACCGCAACAAGGATCGCTTTGGGAAACCCGAAACAACGCCGCATGATGCCATTCCATGTATCCCAGGCGACGAACGTCCGAAGGTGTGTTCGTCGCCCGGGGGGTCGACGTCGGTAAAAGCCACGTACGACTGACCTCATGGGGGCTACGATAAAAACTTATCGCCAGCGTCTGACGAAAGGAGAGACCAAAAAAAGAGAAAAACATCATCTCCCTGCTAACCCAAGCTTTGGAGGGGCCTAAATCGGGATCACCCCCCATCTCGACCTAGGCCTGTGTATAGGAATCCGTTGGGGGAGAACAAAATGAACTAGCTCGCGAAAGAAGTGCACCTACACCAAACCCGACCTCGACTCGATCAAACGAGACCTTCATCCCCAAGACAATCTTGGACGTCACTAGTCGGATCAAACCATACTGACCATGTGGTTACGACCATAGGTTCACGGAACAAGTACAACTGAGGCATTATGCTCGATCGATACGGGAATTATATATTAAAATCATCTATTGGTTTGGGTATGCTTGAATATATTGTCATCAATATTGCCTAGGAATGTTTTTGTTTCGTTGACAATTTGCATCACGAGAGATGAGAGATCTGACAAATGTCAAACCTTTCATGGTCGCTCGACTAAAGGCAGCAAATGACTAGGGATCTTTAGAATCTGTCTGACTATTAACTACCAACGCAACGTGGAAATAGGAATAACTACGGCTGCAGCACTCGCAGAGCTCCTTTAGTGTAAACTCTGTCAGCTGCTTTACAGGTCATGCAGAAAGAACCAAGAATTCCATGCATGCAGCTGCTGTCTTCATGCCGGTAGCTAATTTGCATTTGACTTTTGGTGTTCGCATCTTTCCTTTTGTTCTTGCTCCATACGGAGGTTCTTATTCTCGTTTCTACAGAGTTCATTTAATTCTTAATTCAAAACAGATCAGAATGTAGCAGAACACCAAAATCAGTCCCCCCAAGGAGAAAGAAGAGAAAGCGATCGCACATATACACGCATTGTATAGATAGCACACAAGGACTCGCATGATTTAGCTGTGGGATAATCCACTTAATTGAATTTACACAAGATGAATCTCTCGAGAACCTGAAATTTTTCTTGATGGAGGGAGACTAAGCTCAAGAAGAAGCCTTTTATGGTTAGTTTCTGGGGACACAATCACGGTAGGGAATGGGGAGAGTAATTGCTATTTGTTTGCATCTTCCAATGGTTGTCTCGCCGTGAAGTTGTCGCTGTTCACATTCTCCTTGTTTATAGAGTGTCAAACCCACGGCGGCACCCTCAAGCAAGCCTTTGTTCTCTCTCTCTCTCTCTCTTCTCACTCTCGTTGCCTTTGTTTCAGTTCCTTCTCCCATGGAAGCTGCCTCCGACGATCGCGCAGGCCATCGCAGGAGCCTGAGAACCATGGTTGTGGATGATAACCCAACGTGCCTTAAGATCATCACCACAATGCTCGCAGCATTGCATTTCGTAGGTACTTACTGTTAGTCTAATCCGTAGGCTTTGCATGCATTCATCCCGTTGCTCGTAGAGGCTTCTTTATGGATTTCAAGTCATCCATGGGTATGAAATGTCTTCAGTTCCACCTCTTCTTTCCTTTGCTTCTTCGTGTGTTGCTCTGCTCTGGCTTCTTGATCTCTCGTAAGTAATAACTAGTCTCGTTTGCTGCATGCCCAGCCACAGAACTCGGCTGTTCCATGCTTCTTGCATTGTTTTGTAAAGCCGCATGAGACATGATCTAAGAGTAGCTTTTCTTTCTTGGTAACGTGGTTGCTTAACAAATGAAGCTATGGTTTCTTGGGGCAGTTCAACCCTTCAAGAGCGCAGCTGAAGCTTTGCTCTCTCTCCGTAAACAGAAGGAAGAAATCGATCTAGTCTTAATCGAGGTCCACGTCGGAGAGACCGGCTCGACTAGTCTTACTAGTTTCAAGCTGATCGATCATGTCGTGAAGGAGACCAACGTTTCTGTCATCAGTTAGCAACATCTCAACTTGTAATTTATGTTCTCGATCTCCTCGTTTCGGCATTGCATCGATCCACCTCAACTTCTTTGTATTACTTGTTGATGCAGCTATGTGCGCTGATGATGATCACAACATTTTGTGCGAGTCGCTCAGACATGGAGCTTGTTTCCACTTTACCAAGCCTATGACGCCCGCGGTCATCGAGGTCATGCGGCGGAAGGCAATGCGCGATGTGAGCCGACCTGGTTCTGCAGAAGGAAAAGGTGTTTCCGTCGGTAAAAGGAAGCTTGGTTTGACTTTCTACGGTGTGGTCGGTCCGAGAAGATCGATCCAAATGGCCGACGAGCTCTGCTATATCGAAATATCGAGCGGGGATGAGTCAGGGAAGGGCAGAACCACTGCTGGCAGAGTACAAGGCAGTTGTTCTAAGAAGCAGAGGATGGGCCGCTTGCTCTGGGACTCTGATCTCCACCAGAGGTTCTTGACATCCGTCGAGCTGTTGGGGAAACGTAAGCTTTCTTGTCGCTGAACAAACAATGGATGACATGATTCATATCAGCTCGACGTTTCTTCCATTGTGTCCTCTGATGCTTCTTGATCTGCTTGCAGATGCTGTCCCGAGAAAGATACTCGAACTGATGAACGTTGATGGACTGACCGTGAAGCAAGTTTCCAGCCACCTTCAGGTACGATCATTGCATATAGTCGTGTTCATCGGATCGACGATTAAATGACAGTGCAGTGCTCGCGAATGCAGAAACATCGGAGACGCCAAGAGAAGGCAAAGAAGAGGTCGAATCTGCCGCGTGAGCTAATGCCCAAGCCATGGCAGCTGCAAAGCCAATCGACATTTCCGAGGAGGCAAGGCAAGACGAAGTCTTTTCTACCCTCACGCAAGCTGCCGTTGCGGCCTCTGTTACCCAAGCTTCCGTCAGCTATCAAGACCCAGCATCCTTCGGTGCTTTTGGCTCAGATGGAGGCGAGGATACCCCAACTACCCCAGCATCATCCCATCACGACCGGAGGAAACAAGCACTTGCCTCTCAACCCTATCCAAACGAATCAAGCACGGCGAGGGGGGCACCAAAAGATCATGCAGTGTCTCAGCCTGCAACACATGTTACCTAACGACACTTGCATGGGAACTCAGTTTCCGAGTTTTGCCAGCCGGGTAATAATCGACTGGAGCTCATCGTCGACCCTCCAGATTCCGGAGAACGTCGTCCATTCCTCAGGCAGCAACGATTCGACGAAGGTTCTTGCCTCAGGTGTCAATCTTGAGCCGTCCGGATCGGATCGGGGCTCATCGACAGGTAATTAGTGATCAATTCAGAATCGTATATCATGGCGAGTGAAATCACTGATTACGTTTTCGATCACGAAGATCTTCCTGCCGTCGCTGGACTACGACATGATAAGTTGCAAGACTACTTCGATAAAAGCTTAGTTATCGAGAGAGCTCTGCGTAAGGCCTTCGACGTCTCAAGCGATGAAGAAGACTCGTCGCCGCCTGATGCTTATATGAGCCTTGCAGAATTGGTTGGCTTGGACCAAGCGAGAGGTGTTGTAGAAAAGGATGTCACCAAAGACAATTCGTGTGTGGAGGAGGGTATGCTTGACGAGAGGAGCAGAAGTCCAGTGCAGGACTTCTCTGCCGCTCCTGATCGGTTCTCTCAGCGAAGACATGAACCGGAAAGCTGCAGCACGATGCAAGAAGCTGTAATCAAAGCCGAGAGCATAGCAAGTGAGAATTCCGGCAGCTTCGACATCCAAAAATTCAATGTGGATGAAGACCTCACGGCGGAAATCTTTGAGGAAATAAACAAAGCTAAAAGGTAGAGCATCACGGTGACTTCCTAGAGTTGATCTTTTAAGAAACAAGCTCGTAAATGCAATCAGATCGTCATCGACTTCTCTAAATGCAATCAAAACTGTATTTTGATTCCATCATGGTTCTACTGGGTTGATGTGAGAATAAACGAATCCAAAACCTGTTAATCCCACGATATATGTCATCTGATAAATCATTATTTGTCCTCATCGGCGAGGACAATGAGCACTCTCAATTAGCAGAGTACCTCAAGAGACGCTTAGGCAAAGAAAACACTCGACTCACACCACTAACTTCAGCATTTCCGTGAAGTTTCTGCTTCTTAATATAGCTCTAGAAAGTCTTTCCGTTGAGCCTTTGGAGAGAGTTGCAAGGAGACTCAGTGAAGCTGAGCCTTTCCTCACCAATTTTTAGCTCTATGAAGTATCTATGACGGCTGAAAGAATGTTTTCCTTCCAAAATTATGTAAAGAAGATCTAAGGAAGACCACAATACGTGTCTTTTCGTGGCCCTGAAACGTACGGTAAAAGTAAAAGGTGTCACCTTTCCGAGTTATCGTTTGATCAGATGTGGGAAATCTCTGCTTGGACGTTATAATTTGCATATCTTCTATAAATCCTTCGGGCGATCCACAAACATTCTCCAGCACTGTTAATATCGTTCGAAGAAGTCGATGGTGCAATTCTCAGCTCTTCTTCATCGTCTTCTCCGTTGCGCCTTCTTCCACTTCTGCGGTATTCAGTTTGCATGATTCAACAGAGAGCAGAAAAGAGACAATCTGATGTACGCTTATGTATCGATTTTTTTCTACAGGAATTAATTTAAAGGTTAAATTGATGGGACATCAATGATCAACATCCTCAATTTTGCAATTAATTTCCCTTTTTCTCCAAGAAATTACTGATATTATCTCTCAATTCTTCGCAAGCAACTCGATTACGGTGCCCATTTCACTAACATCGCACCTTGCCTGTTGGCTTTCTTGTAGGATCATGAATAGATCGAGAGGATCGGTTCTTGCTTCTATGACAGATTATGCGTTGGATATGGGTTCATTTATAATCGATGTTGTCAACTTCTGATGGAGCCATTAAGAAGGTATTGTTTTAAGCTTTAGCCATTCTATATATATGTATGTTCTCATAACAGGGTAGGAAATGCTTAGAAATTTTTGTTCTTCGGAATAACATCATGAGATCATGAACACAAGAAATTGGCAAAATAAACTCAATGTGCAGAAATAATTTATTCAGAGATCTTTCCCTCTTTCTTGCCCTCGAGGTTTCCGCTGCTAACACACACACACACACTCTCTCTCTCTCTCTAGCTCGGTCAACAGAGGTGACAACAAACGTGAGCACTTCCTGGCTGGCAGTGTGCATTGAAGGAAGTTTTCAGCAGGGAACGTGAGAAACATGAGCTCAAACGACAAATGTGTAAGCTTTACTTGTGGTGTTTTTGGATGCTTCTTCTGCCCGGACTGCAGTGAGGCAGCTCTCTCTCCATTAGGGATACAGAAGAGCATGGCAAGTTTCAGACCCTGACCTTGTCATCATCTCCAACCACCCTGTTTTCCTCTGCCATCCTTCTGCTCTGCTTTCATCTGACCCTCCACCGTTTTCTCTCTCTTCCTCTTTCTCCTTCTCCTCCCCTATTTATGTGGTCTCATGCTGCCGAAGTAGCACATTCAAGCAAACCCATCGTGTGCTGCCTTTGGAGTTCCGCCACCCTTTTGCCTCTTCCTCTCATTTGTCGATTGGTGTGGAACAGATGGCCCATCACAGAGAGTTCATCCACCCTACTTCTCAGTCGGAGCAATTCCCGGCAACATCAGCTGCTGATCCTCCCACCTATGACTTCCTTCAACTGCCTCAAAATCCACTGGCCCAATTCCATGACATGCATGAGGTAGAAGATTCACAAAATTTCCTTTCCGAGGAATTAAACTGCTTATCTACGACATTGCAAGCCTGGTGAAGGAGGTGTTGACTTTGTTTGGATTTCTACAGGTGGTTGGACATACACAGCCATTGCATCCTTCTAATTTCATGGAGCTCCAAAAGTGGCATTTACAGCAATTTTGGCAGCAACAAATGCTTGAATTGGGAAACCTTGCAGGTGAGTTGACACCATCAAAAGACTTCTTCCATGTGGGCGTGGAATGAGATTATGATTCTTCTTTTCCTTACAGATTACAAGCAGCATCAACTGCCACTTGCAAGGATCAAACGTATAATGAAATTGGATGGGGCGGCAAAGGTCTCGAATGATGATGCTCTTACAAGTCTTCTAATCATCCAGTTTTCGGGTTTTGTGTGTGTGTGTGTGATTTAATGCTATATAATAAAATCTTTCAACAGATGGTTAGCTCGGACACGCCGATCATATTTGCAAAAGCATGCGAGCTCTTCATCTTGGAGCTCACGGTACGCTCATGGCTCCATGCCGAGCAGTGCAAGAGGCTCACCATCCGAAGAACCGATGTAGCAGGGGCCATCTGCCATGCAGACATGCTTAATTTCTTGGTCGACATGCTTCGCCCAGATGAGTTCCAGGTATTGCGATGTTTTAGCTCCAACTTGGCAGTCCTCTTTGGTTTCTGAACAACACAAGGAAGAATTCTTCCATTGGTAGGGTGAGAAAAGAACAAAGAACAGAAGATAGTTTGTAGGAAAAATGAGGAGAAGAGAATTTTAAGACAAATAAGTTACCAGCATACCATCCTTTTAGCATCAAATTAAATGCTAATGGTGCCTTAGAAGTTTGACTTTTGTCTTGCAAAGGTCTTCATCAGGCAACCACAAATGCTGCAGCAGCATATGATGCACCGGCAACAATCTTACCCTAACCACATCTTAAGTGAGCCACCTCCACCATTGGTAAGCTGTAAGAACTTGCATTCTCCAATGATATATAATAAATACTGAATGAATAATAGAGCAACGTATATATAAGATCTTCATTCTGATTTCAAAGCAGGGCCTTAAATCTCCTAAACACTTTAACCAGGAAGAATCAAGGATTTGATTGCTGCCGTTAACCTATGCGTCTCTGTTTATTGTTTTCTCTTTTGCAGTGAGGAATTTGGACCGGCACCTAAACTGCTGGGAGCAGAATTGCGAGGCCTCAAGAGACCACTCAAGGACTGTTCTCATGGAGGGTAAAACGCCATGTAACGTGCATTCATGCCTTGTAAAGAGCTGATGCATTGATATTTATGTAAGAGACTCTTTTCTCTGCGGTCACCATTCTGGTTTCGCATGAACTTTATATACTGAAGTCGATCAACCTCCTGAATCCCTTCATATGCAGTAAAGAAATTTAGAATAATCTCCAATAACATATGTATTTATCTATTGAAGGTGATCAGATCATATCGCCGTGGTCTTATCCACGATGAATGTGTTGATAGAATCGCTCATTCATCCACGGTGTCGATGCAACCAGGAATCCTTTTCTCGAGTTAAGCTTGACCGAGACGGCACAATATATTCAACATAGCATCTGGGTGTATTTTCCACGCTTGACGATGAAATAACAGTTTTCGCAGAAGAAGAAGAAAGTTGCATTCAGCGTTTACTAGTGCATCATCTTAGGCGTGGCACCAATTGGGCCTTTAATTCACGTTATAGATAAACTGCTTTCTCTTACATTATGGGCGTCTTCCCTCAACCCCCAATCTACAGAGAACCACCACCATCTCTTCTTCGTTACAAAGGAAGAGGATGAAAAGCTCAACCCCAGTATCCTTTTCTATTACTACCGTTTCTCCTCTCCTCCTCCTCTTGCTCCTCCTCACCACTGCCGAACTCTGTAGCTCCCAGCGCAATAAAAGCTGCCATCCTTCTTGCGGCGACCTCAGCATTCGCTATCCGTTCCGTCTAAGGGGCGATCCGCCTGAATGCGGTGAACGGGAGTTGGAACTTGTGTGTGAAGGAAAAGATGCGGTGCTCTATCTCGACTCCGACAAGTACTACGTCACCGAGATCTCATATAAGAGACGGCGATGTCGGCTACTCTATGCTGGTTTCGTGACAGGCACTTGCCGTCTCCCACCCCGTGTCCTTTCTAGCGTTATAGATTTCCGTGACTTCCTTTCATCGTTCATTTTTTATGAGACATTTGGGGGCTCAACTACAAACTGGGCCAGTTTTATGAACTGCACGCAGGAAATCCACAGCCCGGAGTATGTGGCCGTGCCTTGCCTTAGCGGGAACAACTCCACTACATATGTCGTGGTCGAGTCCTATGCATATGAGATACGCTACCTTAAGAATTCATGTAGCTGCATCACCTATCTTCCGGTTGAAGGATTCTTGAGTACAGGCATGGATATCTTTGAGCTCCTACGGAAAGGATTCCCGGTTGAATGGTCATTTGACATCCCGAACGAGAGCATCGTCGAGCAGTGTTGGACAAGCATGACATCGTGAGAATATCTTTAACCTTTTTTATCTGCTCGGCTTCGTTGTGTCCTGGTGGCTTTATTTGCTGACGAATTATTGTTCATACAGGTCATATACGGATGATGATGATATATATGGAACCAAATTTATTTACATTAAGTTTCTAAATTTCATACATTATGAGATGGATTTTCTAGGTTGCATCTTCTTTGAGGAGAGAAATCGCAACCGCAGCCACACTATCTTCCGTATCGCACTGGTCTTGATCATTTTATTAGACGTAGCTCTCTGTTTACTAGGTAGAAGTCTATTGGTTCTACATTAATTGGTAGATCATCTGTTCAAGTACATATAGACTCTGATCTTCCACCCGTCACCTGTGACTGAATACAGTGAGCAGACTTATTGCTACTTCAATTGCTGCTGTATTCCTGGCGTACAACGCTTGGAAAATGAGATCACCCGTCGACTCGGTAGAGAAGTTTCTGCGGAACCAGGAAACTCTGTCGCCCACACGGTATGCTTATAGCGACATCATCGCCATGACAAGCCACTTCAGAGAAAAGATAGGCCAAGGCGGCTTCGGTTCCGTCTTCAAAGGGCATCTCCTCGGCCGGTACCCTGTCGCTGTTAAGATGCTGGGCGGCTCCAAGTTCGACGGAGAGGAGTTCATCAACGAGGTCTCCACCATCGGTAGGATTCACCACTTGAACGTGGTGCGGCTTCTCGGCTTTTGCTCCGACGGATCCAAGAGAGCGCTGGTGTACGAGTACATGCCCGGCGGCTCACTCGACAAGCACATCTTCTCTGCAAGCAGAAGCAACCATCGCCGGTTCACCATGGAGAAGCTCCGTGACATAGCCCTGGGTGTGGCCAGGGGCATCGACTACCTTCACCATGGGTGCGACATGCAGATCGTGCACTTCGACATCAAGCCCCACAACATCCTCCTCGATCACGCTTTCACGCCCAAGATCTCGGATTTTGGATTGGCAAAGCTGTATCCGAAGGACTACAGCCTGATATCCATCAGCGCCGCGAGAGGCACGATAGGATACATAGCGCCTGAACTGATATCTAGGAGCTTCGGGGTCATATCTCACAAGTCAGATGTTTACAGCTTCGGCATGCTGCTTATGGAGATGGCTGGAGGAAGGAGAAACGTGAATCCAAAGGCGGACAAGTCCAGCCAGATCTACTATCCTTCATGGATCTACGACCAGCTCGCCGGAGAGGAATGGCCAAGAGAGCCAAGATTGGATGAGAGTACGGAGATCGATGCGATGGAGAGAAAGCTGTGCATGGTGGGGCTCTGGTGCATTCAGATGAAGTCATGCGATCGCCCCTCCATGAGCCGCGTGGTGGAGATGCTGGAAGGCGACGTGAATGACTTGCGCATGCCTCCCAAGCCCTTCTTCTCCTCCCCACAGCCAAGCTTGGGAAGACAGTCCTCCTGCATGCCTTCATGTTCTGCAGGACTAGAAATCATTTCAGAGCATGACGACCTTCCCTGAACCTGACACAAGCAAATGCGGTTTACCTGCATTGTCCTAGCTAGTTTTAGTATTCAAATTGCTGGTGTGAGCAGGCCACTGTACTGTCGATTTCCACAACATCAATAAGCAACACAAGTCTAAATCTCGTGTTAATGTAAGATTTAATTTCAGGAGTTAATGCTACGTGTTTTATGCCATGTCCTATACATATATTTAGGGAAAGAACAATGGATTCGCACAAGTCGCCGCCGAGCCACCGAACATGATTCTGGGCGTTTTGATTTGCCAATGCCCCCAAAGCCTCCAAGTCAATGGCGGTCAATCTAATGATACCACTCAAATAAGTTAGCTTTCTCGAGGCGTCCAAGTCATTGGCAGTCAATATAATGAAACCAGTCAAATAAGTTGACTTTCGAAAGACTTGACGTCTCGAACACGAAACCTAAGCTTTCAGACATGTCGGGCAAAAAATAAAATAAAATAAAAAGACAAGATAACCACTTGGTATCTTTCCAAGGCTTGACGATGATGGATATGATTAGAAACATATTTAAAATACATATTGAGAGTTAAATACATATTTAAAATATAAATTAATATTTATTATTATTTTAAATCATATTTGACTTTGATACTATATAAATCTTCAAATGTTGATGCTACTAAGGGGGTAGCATTAGCATTTCAATATTTATAGAATACTAATATCATTTTTTAAATTTTAAATATAGCTTATGACTTTATCTAAAATTATAAGATTTTCAAAATAATTTAATAAAAATTAATATGAAAGTAAAATTTCGTTTATTTATTTTTAATATTATTTTATGTTTATTTATATGTTTATATTTATTATTTATTATATTTTTCGGCCATATGAAAATTTTTTATAAGATTGGATACATTCATTTATTTATTTTATTTTATTTACTTATTAATTTAAATAAAAAAATACATATTTATTTTTAAATAAATATTAAAAATAATAAAAAGGATAAATTTATCATAAAATATTAGCTTAAATTTTATGCCGATGCACATTTAAAACATAATTTTCATCTATTACTTATCAAGCACTTAAGGTATTATACAACTATGTATTCACTCAAATTTTTTTTCAATTATATATTTAAACTATAAATAGATTTATATTTTGATTTCTCTTTCGATGGAATAATTGAAAATAATAATAATAATAATAATATGATGACTCAAATGTTGACTCGAATAAGTTGCTCATCAAACTTGTGAGGCTGTTGACCGACAGTATGCATGCGGATTCTGATAGTGGATCATGTTGTCGAAAGAAACGAAGTCTGAGGAAATAACAAAAATAAAGGAAAATATATGGATCGAGTGACACCGCCAAAAAGAAGACAGACATCGTCCCTAAGATTGTTTTACTTCATATCTGTCATTTCGCCGGTAAACAGACTTTTATTAGAGATCGTTGGCATACAGATTGGCCAAACCTCAAACACAACTTCTATATACTCATTATATTTCATATTTGCAGTCGGGTAACTATGTAGGATTTTTTCATTAATTCAATTTTGTTCTGAATTTTATCTTAATTTCCTGATTAAAAAAAACCAAAGAATTAAAAAACCTAAAATACACCATCTGACGGTTTGGTAAGATAGCTGGTAATGATGCTGATAGGAATTCATGCGGCGACCGTCAGGTCCAAACAGTTTAAAATAAAGCATCGTTATGTGTGGCACCAATTAAGGACCTGACTATTATACGCATTTCATTTTTTGAGTGTCGTCGCTCCACTTAGAGCAAACCAAATCAACGGAGAACCATCTTCTTTGTTCCAAAGGAAGACCATGAACAGCTCTGCTTCTTCTGTTGCTGCTTCTCCTTGTCGTCTCCTCCTCCTCCTCCTCTTTCTCCTCCTCACCACTGCCGAACCCTCTAGCCCTCATCGCCATAAAGGTTGCCGTCGGTCCTCGTGCGGCTACTCGCCGACAAGTACTACATCACCGAGATCTCATACAAGATTCGAAATTCCGGCTCGTCTATGCTGGGTTCGTGACAGGCACTTGCCGTCTCCCAACCCGAGTCCTTTTTCGCTATGTAAATTACCGGAATAGCAGTATCTTCCTCTGTCCGGTCATTCATCACGAGAGGAGTGAGGCCCAATCTGCAAACTGGTCCAGTTTTATGAACTGCACGCAGGAAATCCCAAGCCCAGAGAATGTGGCCGTGCCTTGCCTTTGCGGGAACAACTCCACTACATATGTCGTGGTTGAGTCCGATGCATATGAGATACGCTACCTTAAGAATTCATGTAGCTGCATCACCCTATCTTCCGGTTCAACGATTCTTGAGTACAGGCATGGATATCTTTGAGCTCCTGCGGGAAGGATTCCTGGTTGACTGGCCATTTATAATCTCGAACGAGAGCATCGTCGAGCAGTGTTGGACAATCATGACATCGTGAGAATATCTTTAACCTTTTTTATCTGCTCGGCTTCCTCATGTGTCCTGTTGACTTTCCTTACGAAATATTGTTCATACAGGGCATATACGGATGATGATGATATATATGGCGTCAACCCAATTTACATTAAGATTCTAAATTCCATATTTTTTGCGATGAATTTTCTAAATTGCATCTTCTGCGAGGCGAGGGATCGCAACCACAGCCACACTATCTTCAGTATAGCACTGGTCTTCATCGTTTCATTAGACGTAGCTCTTTGTTTACTAGGTAGGATTCTATTGGTTCTACATTAATTGGTAGATCATAGAGTCTGATCGTCTACCAATCACCTGTTGGTGTATTCACAACGCTTGGAAAATGAGAGCACCCGTCGAGTCGGCAGAGAAGTTTCTGCGGAACGAGCAATCTCTGTCGCTGACACGGTAATGCTTATAGCGACATCATCGCCATGACAAGCCACTTCAGAGAAAAGATAGGCCAAGGCGGCTTCGGTTCCGTCTTCGAAGGGCATATCCTCGGCCGGTACCCGGTCGCTGTTAAGATGCTGGGCGGCTCCAAGGTCGACGGAGAGGAGTTCATCAACGAGGTCACCACCATTGGTAGGATTTACCACTTGAACGTGGTGCGGCTTCTCGGCTATTGCTCCGACGGATCCAAGAGAGCGCTGGACTACGAGGACATGCCCGGCGGCTCACTCGACAAGCACATCTTCTCTGCAAGCAGAAGCAACCATCTTCGGTTCACCATGGAGAAGCTCCATGAAATAGCCCTGGGTGTGGCCAGGGGCATCGACTACCTTCACCATGGGTGCGACATGCGGATCGTGCACTTCGACATCCTCCTCGGTCACGCTTTCACTCCCAAGATCTCCGATTTTGGAATCCGAAGGACTACAGCCTGATATCCATCAGCGGGGCGAGAGGCACGGTAGGATGCTTAGCGCCTGAACTGACATCTAGGAGCTTCGGGGTCATAGCTCACAAGTCAGATGTTTACAGCTTCGGCATGCTGCTGATGGAGTTGGCCGGAGGAAGGAGAAACGTGGATCCAAAGGCGGACAACTCCAGCCAGATCTACTATCCGTCATGGATCTACGACCAGCTAGTCGTAGAGGAACGGCCAAGAGGGCCAAGATTGGATGGGAGCATGGAGATCGATTAGATGGAGAGAAAACTATGCATGGTTGGGCTCTGGTGCATTCAGATGAAGTCATGCGATCGCCCCTCCTTGAGCCGTGTGGCGGAAGGCGACGTGAATGACTTGCGCATGCCTCCCAAGCCCTTCTCCTCCTCCCCACGGCCAAGCCTGTGAAGACAGTCTCCCTGCGTGCCTTCATCTTCTACAGGACTAGAAACCTTATGAGAGCACGACGACGACCTTCCCTTAACTCGATACGCAAATAAACGTGGTTCCCTCAAATGAATCGCGTCTTTGTACTACATTTGCCATTTGGTCAAAATTGTGCCCCGCATCCTTTGACCGAAGAAAATGAACTTTGACATCCCACTTGATCTGTTTGTGACTCGCCCTTCTCTGGTTTTCCTCGGCCAAGTAGTTGGGAACTTTGCGTGTCGAATGGAATCGGTGAAAGCAAGTCCAAGAAGTTGTCAGTCCAAAAGCATGTATGTTCTTCACATCTTGGAGCAATCGAGGCTGCAACTCAAGCTGGTTGGGCATGGCAGAAGAATTTAACGCAAAGAAGATTACTAATCGCTTGTAGCTTTACAGGCAAAACAAGTCTTAGGATATCGTTTGGCAAAGACTCAAGGTTGGGCTAATCCGAACCTTGCTAATCTCGTGTGGCATCATCCCTTATCAAGCACTTGAATTAAGCTCGACAAAAGTCTTCTTCATGAGCATAGGTGGCAACCCTAACCTACCCAGTCTCCATGTCCTCTCTGCTCTACAACCTAAGAGACTACACAGTGACCTAAGAGGGCACAAAACAAGATTAACAACTGAATCAAAAGTACAAGCAATAAACTGGAATGAGCCATTAATCAGCAATTGACATGTAAAAGAAAAAAAATCCATATGTGAGATCTAAATCGAAACTACAGTCATGCAAACAAACACCAAGACAGAAATAATTGGCAAGTAAAAGAAAAAAATAAAAATAATTCCATGTATCCTGTTCTATATATCGTTTTCACCCTAAGAACTCCAGTAATTTCTGCTATGGATGATGTCAAGAACTCAAACAGTTCATTTTTGCATGATAGATCTGATCATGGATACGAACCAAAATATGCCAGATTAAATATCTCTTGCAGAAGAGACCCAAAAAATAAGGCCTTATATACACAGGAGAAAAAAAAGTGCATTAGAAACCAAAAAAGCAAGAGAAAAAAAGGCCAAACCTTTAAAAAAGGGCAAAGAGAGGGTTTTTATATGATAAGATATTTAACAGCAACAGCGACCACAAATGATCAGTGGTGGGAGAGCCAGGCGACGAGCTCGGCCCCGATCCGGCGGTCGGCAGCGGCGCGAACCTCCGGCGCGGCCAGCTCGGAGCGGCACAGCGGGCAGGTGAGGTTCAGGTGGTGGAACCAGCCTTCGAGGCACTCACCGTGGAAGACGTGGCAGCAGGGGAGGCGCCGGACGCGGTCCCCGTCGGCCAGGCCGCAGAGGCACACCGCGCACTCCGCCCGCCGGCCCTCCCCTCCCGACGAGCGGGAGGCGAAGGCGAAGGACCGGTTGGAGGTGAGGTGGTCGGCGAGGACGACGAGGCCGGCGAGTCCGGATCCGACGGACGGCTCGGGGTCGGCGTCGGCGTCGGCGGGGGAGGAGGAGAGGGAGAGGGGGAGGAGGCGGAGGAGGAGGGAGCGGAGGTAGGCGATGGAGGCGGCGGCCGCGGCGAGGAGGAGGAGAGGGATGGAGTCGCCGGAGACGTCGTGGAGATGGTTGGAGAGCCCCATTCTACGCCTTATTTCCCTTTAATGAAGCCGTGTATCGAGGATTTATAAGGGAATGCGTGCAGAGAAAGGGTGAGAGAAGAGAGAGATGAAATGGGGGATTAAGAGGAAGGACGGTTGTGGTTGATGTGATGGGTCCCATCACGGGCAAATGGTTCCATGAATGAGAGGCCTCACGTTGTCAGGGTTCTACTCCCCCCTACTGTCACGCCTCTGCTTCTTTCACCTCCCTCCCTTCCCTTCCCTTCCCCCTCTCCCTCCCTCCTCCTCCTCT